TCCTCACAGGCCCCACACCCCCCTATTCCCTCAGCGACGGTCACCGCCTCCCCAAAACACCACCGCAGGGACCACAGCCCCCTCCCAGAACCTCCCGATCCCCTCAACGAGGGTCGCACTGCCCCCATTTCCCCCCCCTCAGGCCCACAGCCCCTCCCCCCACAGCTCCCATACCGCCGCGCTCAGCCCCGCTCCCCGCGCCGCGCATGCGCTCTGCCCTCACTCTCCTCCCAGCGACTTCCGGCTTCCGGGAGAAGCACTTCCGGGTCGGCGGGAGAGGGGTCGGGCCGGGCATGGGGCGGCCGTAGTGGGGCGGCGGGCGGCCGGGTTTCGTCATGCGGTACAACGAGCGGGAGCTGCTGTCCCTCTCCCGGCAGCCGGCCGAGAAAGCGGCCGAGATCTTGATGCGGGTCCCCAAAAAGGGCAGCGGTGAGGGAGAAGGGGCTGGGGGCGGAGCCGGGGGGCTGGGATGGGACTGGGAGCGATGGACTGGGGGTACTGGGATGGGACTGGGGGTACTGGGATGGAAATGGGGGTGCTGGGATGGAGCTGGGAGTGTTGGACTGGGGGTGCTGGGATGGAACTGGGAATATTGGACTGGGGGTGCTGGGATGGAGCTGCGGGTGTTGGATTAGGGCTGCTGGGATGGAGCTGGGGATGTTGGGATGGAACTGGGAGTGTTGGACTGGGGGTGCTGGAATAAAGTTGGAGGTGCTGGGGTGGGAGTGCTGGGATGGGATTGGGAGTGAAGGGATGGAGATGAGATTGTTAGACTGGGAGTGCTGGGGTGGAGTTGGGAGCGCTGGGGTGGAACTAGGAATGTTGGACTGGGAGTGCTGGGATGGAGCTGGGGGTGCTGGGATGGAACTGGAAGTATTGGACTGGGGGTGCTGGGATGGAGCTGCGGGTGTTGGATTGGGGGTGCTGGGGTGGGAGTGCTGGGATGGAGCTGGTGGTGAAGGGATGGAGATGGGAGTATTGGATTGGGAGCGTTGGGATGGTGCTGGGGGTGCTGGGATGGAGTTGGGCATGCTGGGGTGAAACTGGGAGTGTTGGGCTGGAGGTGCTGGGGTGGGAGTGCTAGGGTGGAGCTGGAAGTGCTGGGATGAGAGTATTGGAATGGAAGCACTGGGATCAGAATGGAGGTGGTGGGATGGGAGCGCTGGGCTGGGAATGGAGGTCCTGTGGTGGAAGCACTGGGATGGGAATATTGGGACAGAGCTGTGAATGTGGAGTTGGTATGCTGGGATGAGACTGGGAGTGCTGCACTGGGATTACTGGGATGGAACTGGAGGTGTGGCACTGGGAGTGCTGGGATGAGACTGGGAGTGCTGGGGTGGAACTGTACATGCTGGGATGGTGTTGGGGGTGCAGCACTGAGGGGTCTGGGGTAGGAGTGGGGAGCAGAGTGCAGAAGCTGGATGTTGGTGGGGTGCTGAGTTGGGGTCCAGAAGTTGATCAGGAGCATGGGAGATGGAGGAGCAGGGCTGGGCAGTACTGAGGGTCAGAACTGGGAGAGCCAAGGAACAGGGATGGGGCACTGGGAGAAATGGGCAGGTGGAACACAGGCTGCTGAGCAGTGGGACTGGGAGCACAAAATGGGCAAGACTGGGGGGGACCAGCAGAGTCTGTGAGGCCTTGGGGACAAGCAGGTGGGTTTGGGGGCCCCGTGCCCACTGGGCTCACTGTCACAACACTCTTTTCCTTTTCAGTGTTAAAGAAGCGCCTTGTGAAGCTTGTGGTGAACTTTCTCTTCTACTTCAGGACAGATGAAGCTGAGGTATAAATCCTGCTTCTCTTCACACACACATAGGCACACGCACACCTTTTGTTGCATGTTTATCACGTGTGCCTTGAGGAACAGTGCAGCACTAGGCTGTCACAGCCAGGACGTGGCGTCCTGCACAGTGCAAACTCCTTGGTGGGGTGAGGAGAAGCACTGCCAACAAACCACACCCTGCTTTCTACAAACACAACCGTTGCCCTACAACAGCAAAAGTTGGACTCTGTCACATGTATTTGCAGACCTGGAACATATTACATAAAACCAAGACCCTCCTGTTGAAAAATCAGTGCAGAAGTAATCTTTATAATGTGGCAGGGAGTGCTGCATGCCAAGGAACCGAGAGCTTTTCATGACGTTTTTAGATTTTTCCCAGCATGAGCATTTAACCCTGATCATGGCTGAGCTCCTGTCCTGAGAAATGCTCTCTTCTTGTTTCTGTGGGGAACTGCCAACATAGAACTGATGCACTGGAAATTTGCCCTCAAACAGGTGCTTCAACATCAGTGCTGCTGCCTGATTCACAATCCCCCACTGAAATCTTTTGTCCAAACTAAACAAAATCTGAGCAGCTTTCATTTGTGGCACATATCACCCTGTGGTTCTCGTGTCCTTGCTTAGTATGTGCTGGCTGGCAGCCTGTCCCTGCCACTGCCTGCTTGTCCTGAGCTGTTCTTCATCCACACACACTGTTCTTAACCTCCTGCAAAGCTCGAAGGCCGCCCTTAGGAAGTAAAATGTTGAACAGTTTATCTTTGTTTGATTTACTGTGCAAGGAAGTAAACTTTATCGCTGTCTTTGCATGACAGAAAGGAACACTGAAGCCCAGATTGAATCTGAGCACACAGAGACTCTTTAGAGGACAATCTTAAGCTCTGTGGGTTCAGAACACTGTAGATCTGACAGACAGTGTGTGCTGAACCCCCCCTCTGTACCTTTTCCAGCCCATTGGAGCGCTGCTGCTGGAGCACTGCAGAATCACCAAAGAAGAGGAGAATGTTTTCTCCATCAGTGAGTTGTGTGTGTGTGTTCCCTTCATGTCCCCCTCATGGTGGCTCTTGGTAAATGGAAACATTTCCTGCTTTCTTCCTGCTTTTCCCCATTCCCCCTCTGACAGCAGCTCAGTGCTCCCCAGCCCCCCTCCCCATCCACTGCTGGTCGGTGCAGAGCTGCCATGCTCCAGTCCTGGGATGGCAGCATCTCCCCACTGCTGTTGTGGGCATGGCTGTGTGCAAGGAGAGGAGCAGGAAAAGCAGCCAGCGCACAGCTCAGTGCTTGTGGCAATCCCTCTCTAGGAGGGTTTGGTATTGACAGATTGCTGCTTCTGTGCTGTTGCATTTTATCAAAAAACAAAACAAAAAAAAACCCAAAACACAAGTGGGCTTCAGATAAACCATCTGTGGTGCTGGTGGAGCAGCAGTCCTCCCTCCATGCTGTGTCCTCGTGTCGATAGCCATGGCTCCAGCTGCCTTGCACTGCGTCGGCCTTTCCTCCCAACAACTAATCATTGTGCGAGAGGTATGTGGCAAAAATAACAGGATGTTTCTCCAAGGCCATCCCCATATCTTTTGGCCTGGCTGTCAGGCACAGCTGCTTCTCAGTGCAGAGCCATCTCCCCGCTCCCAGCCAGCAGAGATGGAGTTCTGACCGTCCCACGCAGTCTGAATGCAGTCGGGAGCATTCTGCTGAGCTCGTGGGGCTTCTGCACTGCCAGAGCTCTGCTGACCAGAGGTTCCCAAGAAAGGTGTTGAATGTGATGGCACTTGGAGCCGGACTGTGTCCCATACAGCAGCTCCGAGGGGTTGGATGCAGCCTGACCCAGTTATTTCCCCACATGTCTGTGCACTGTGTACTAAAAAGCAGAGCTCTGGGAATGATGTTAATTAATTAGATGTCCTGATTCTGTCTTGGTAAAGAATTGGAGTTGTGCAGGGACTTGCTTTCTGCTGTGCACAGTACTGAATTCCCCAGAGCCTCCAGCAAAGACAGGTCAGTACCTTCTCTGAGTGTGATTTCATTCCTCAGATAGCTGCCCTCTGCACACCACAAAATCTCTTCCTCGGGGCCATTTTCCACTCTGGTTACTAAATCTCTCTGACGGTTTGCAAGGAGGCTCGGGGTGTTTCAGTCTGCATTTGCCCAGCCCATCTCCAAGCTGTCACTCTTTGAGAAGCTGCTCTTTCCCCTCCAAAGTGTTTTGCTGCTCTGAGCTGACGGGCGCTGCAGGCAGCTGCTGGGAAACACAGAGCAGAAGTGCCTGTGCAGTTGGTGTTGCTTTTGGAAGTGTCTCTCCCGGGCAGGAGTGATGCTGAGGGCTGCTGAGCTGTACAAGGTGCACCTCTGGGCTACCATCACTCCCACACAGCTCTAACACAACTGTATGGGGAAGAGTGGTTATGCACTGAGTTGAGGGAAGGGGGATGTTAAGGAGTGGCTCTTGCACTGTGTGTGCTTTTTCCAGTGCCTTTCTATTAGCAAACAGCTTTCTGAGCTGGATTTCAAGTGTGCAGGGGCAAGCTTGGCTGGGCCTTTGCTTTTAGCAGGCAGAGAAAGAGTGTAACTCCAAGCCATAGTTAGGAGCACAGCTCCAAGCTGCTCAGGGTAAGATGGAGGGGACAAAGGCCTGGGTTCTCACATGGTTCACAGGTCATCCTAGATGAACAAAGGTGCTAATTGCAGCCTGGCTGAACCTCTCTTTGTTGAGGAGGAAGAGCTCTGCCAGGACCTCACTTACACCTTTTCCTTGTCCTTGGCAGGTTTCATTGAGGAGCCAGAGAGGAAGTACTGCTTTGAGTGTGACAGCGAAGAGCAGTGCCAGGAATGGATTGAGGCACTCAAGAGAGCCAGGTGGGCTGAGCCCCCTGACAAGGGTCTGTTTTGTGCTGCACATCTGCTGCAGCCCCGTGCTGTTTGTTTCCTGGGATCATCACTCACGGTGAACCTGGGGAGGAAAGCAGCTCCCTCCTCCTGGCCAAGCTTCCCTTTGGCTCTAGATAGCTTTAGAAACTTCCCCACATTCCTTTCTGCTCAGCCCGCTGTTCTTTTCTCACAGCTATGAGTTCATGAGAAGAAGTTTGATTTTCTACCGGAATGAGATCCAGAAGATGACGGGGAAGGTGAGTTCCTGAGGTTGGCTGCTGGGGTTGGGCTGGATATCTGGCCTTGCTGCTGCCATCCTGCGTGAGGCTGTTGGCTGCAATGCATACGGCTGTGCTCTGGAATAAGCACTCAACCCCGCTGTGTGCCAGGCTGCTGAGAAGGGCTGTCCCAGCTCCTCCTGCCCGTGTCTCACCATCACTTCCCTGTGCTCTCCTTGCAGGACCCCCTGGAGCAGTTTGGGATCTCGGAGGAAGCCCGCTTCCAGCTGGCAAGCCGCAAGCAATAATTCCACAGGCTCTCTCTGGAGGGTCAAACCCACCTTCCCCCAGAAGGAACAGCAGCAGTTCCCCCCCCAGCGGTGACCAACTGACTTTTTAATTTATTAGCCAAACAGGGCTTTTTTTAATAATTTTTTTTTAAGGGAATTCTTTGCACATTCCCGTCTCTCCTGCCCTCCCGCAGCCACGTGGGCAGCCATCACTGTTCCATGCAGACTGTGACCTTGTGCACCGATGCTGCTGCAGCCATGGGAGTGACAGCAGGAGCAGAGGAGGAGGGACTGAGCCGAGCTCCAGCACTCGCTGTCCTCCAGCAAAGGCTTAGCCCTGGTGCCAGGAGCTGTGGGGCCGGCCCTGTGCCAGCTCTAGCTTCCCCTTAATCTCTGCCCTCCTGCTGGGAGCTGCTCGGCTTTTCTGGCTTAGGATGTTCCTACAGGAGCCCCTTTCTATAGAAGGATGCTCTGGCTGATGGCATTGCTGTGCCACAGCGTTAACCCTGCTGTGCTCTCTCCAGCACAAAGCCATTTCCATTCAGCAAGGAGCAGGGAGACTTCTGTGAACATGGAGCAGCTCTGCTCAGGGGAAGGGCATCACCCACTGCTGCCACCACCTCCTGGGGTGCTGTTCCCTTTGTCCTTTCTCCAGACAGGCACTGCTCATTCTTAGAGGCTCACGAAGCCCACGCTACTGCCAATTAGAGCACTGTCACAAACAGTGCAGAGAGTGAAGCTGTAAAGCACAAGGGGGGAAAAACAGGACTGAGAGCTCCGTGTCGTGATCCTGCTGCCCTCTGCAGTGCTGTGGGCTGGGCTGAGCCTCAGGAGCAGCAGATGGAGAGACTTGTAAAGGCAGGAACTGCTGTGTGCACTTGGGCTGGATGTAAGAGTGTCGGGGTATGCAGAAGTTGAGCCCTGGGAACATCGCCTTGCTGCAACACTCCACTCCCTCTGTGAGCTGCCAGGGAGCAACGAGTGCCTTTGCAGGGACTCCGATAATGAAGCAATGAGCAGTAATAAGGGACATCTCGAGGCTCTGCACCTGAATGCAAACAGGGAAAGTGCAGCCAGAGATGAGGGGTGGAAGGCGCTCCCCAGAGCTCAGAGATCCCGTTCCATGCAGCAGCTCCACTGGGCTCTCCCTGCAGAAAAGCCCCCCCAAAGGTGCAGCTGTGCTGATGGCAGAGGGAGCTGCTCAGCCCTGGGGGAGGGGGGGCAGCTTTTCTTTTTCCCAGCCAGGCAGCAAAAAGGCTGCTCCACAATTACAGCAGTAACTGAGCGGGGAGAGCAGTTCGTGCTGCAATGGGGCTGATGGGAAGTTTTGGTTCTCCTCTTCCTTGGCTGGGAAGGAGCGCAGGACTGAGAGCCTGCAGCGGTGCAGCCTGGCTTCCCTCTGTACCTCAGCTGTCGGTACCAGGAGAGCAGCAGATGGCACCGACGCTTTATTTTTAACCTCACGCCCCAGATCTTTTCCTTCCCCTCCCCCGGATCCCCTTTCCCTGCAGTGGTTCAGGTGCTTGCAGCAGCAATTACCAAAAACAAACCGCGCCGCGCAGGGCGGAAAATAGGGCAGCGCTGAAGGCAGATGGCAGCGCTCCTGCAAGCCACAAGCTGGGATTAAAGAGTGGAGCAGCACAGAGCTTTGGGGACACGGTGTCCTCGGGTGACTCCAATGACCACCACCAGCTCACAGCCAAGGAGCCCAGTGTTGCAGCGAGGGCTCTGCTGGCAGCCCTCCCCCTGGCCTCCCCCCACCCCATGGGAATCAGCCATGGTCACGGGGTGGTGGTGGTGTAACAGGGACAGCAATAACCGCAACGTTATTGAGGAGGAGACAGTGACATTTCCTAAAACTGAATGTAAGACAAATGCTGTGAAGAGTTGTGTGGGCCTTCGCAGACCCGGCGACTTAATTAGCTATTAGTTGATCAACTGCTGGCGTAGCGTAGGACACTGTTAGAGCTCAGCAGGAGGGGAAGGTGGTACTGGAGAGTTCCACGTCCGCTGCTGCTGGTTTAGAGACAATTCTGCATGATGTGTTTGTATTGCAGGGCCCAACCTTCCGAGTGCGGGCTCCACAGCTGTTGTACAATGACCATTTCCAATAAAACCTCTTTTAATCACTGCGGCCATGAGAGCGTGGTGAGGGGCTGAGCCCCCAACCCTGGAGGAGCAAATTCCCTATTGCATGACCGGTGTGAGCAAAAAAGAAGAAAAATCCTACAGCACCACAGATATGGGATGAGCAGGAGCTGCCCCAACCCTGGAGGAGCAAATTCCCTATTGCATGACTGGTGTGAGCAAAAAAGAAGAAAAATCCTACAGCACCACAGACATGGGATGAGCAGGAGCTGCAATCAGCGCCAGCCCAGCACTGAGCAGTGAAACGCCACGACAGAGCAGTGTATTAAAATACGTACACTTTAATATAAAGACAAAACTTCAAAGCATTTGTTTCCATTACAAATCAAGGGAGAGACACAAGAAATTAAGTGAGGGGAGGAAAAAAAAAAACAACAAAACAAAACAGTGCGGGGCATTAGAAAGGCAGGGGGGAATATATATATTATACGTACATATATACACACCAGAATTTGCACTACTTCTATGGGATGGAAGGAATGATGGGACAACTTACCGGTGTAAAATAAAACGACAACAAAAAGATAAATTAGGGGAAGTTTGAGTTTTAAATAATTGGGTTTAATCGGCTAAATTATATAAACTAATCCCTATTCCCTAGGAAACATCCCGTATCGCTGCTCTAAGAAAACGTGTGGTGGTTGTGGTTTTAAATCCATTGAAAAATGGATTGTTAGTAGTAGTTAAAAGGTTTGCTAATCAATTCCTGAGCAACAGCAACCTCATGACCCGCTGCATCCCGCCTGGCTCCTATGGAAGGTGAAAAGAGACCCAACGAGTTGGTTTTAATTGGAGATCGTTCGCTTAGAAGATCAATAGGTTCCAGGAGCCATGCGGGATGGACCAACCCATCCTCCTCTTCCTCGTTAACCACAGCAATGAGACCTTGCTAATGAGCCAACCGCGCCGGAAGAAAGCAACAGTTGTACCTTAAAACAACACTAAATCCCAAAGCTGAGAACTTTGGGGTCAGTGCTACAGAACCCAGAACTGCACAAAGGGGTTTTGTTTCTCAAGGGTGAAGATTGAAGGAACCTCTGCACAAAGATGCAAACAGCAGATGCACCGGAGGGATATTTCCAGTGTGTGTTTCCCATTTTTGGCTTTGGGGTTAAACCCTGAAGTTCACAGTAACCTCTTACTGTGCCATTCTGTCTCAGTGGGTGCTTCTAAGGCGAAAGGATGAAGAAAATACGGCACAATATCATCACTGGGAATCCATCTTATAGTGAGAACCCAATATGGAGAAGTCAGAGCAAATAAGGGAAGAAAGAACAGCCCAAAACCTCAAATATTCATCCACCAACATCTGCACTTCCAAAAAAAGCCCTACTCTTGTGTTTTTGCCCCTCTGCTACAGAGCTGGCTCATAAGGGCATTGCCTCCTTTCCTGGCAACCCAGCAAACCTCTGCTGTCCTCTGCACACTAACAGGGATACTTGTGGGGAGCTCCACCTCCTCCTCCTCCTTTTCTTCCTCTTCCTGCTTAGACAACACACTGAGAGCAGGACTTGGGGAACCTCCCATCAAGCTGGGGTAACTCCTTCAGAGAAAAAATAACCCAGAATCTGTAAGTTTCCTGCAGGAAAAGCACCAATTCCAACACAAAAACCCAACCAGGCAGATCGCAGAACTGACATCGGGATGCAGACCTGGAGAGGGGCAGCTCAGCAGCAGAAGGGCTGCAGGTGGGTTGCAGGTGGGATGGGATGATCTTGGAGGTCTTTTTCAACCCTGGTGATTCTGTGATTGGAAACCCACCGCTGTGCGTAGCCATCGAGATTTATCAGTGCAGCCAAATGGGACCAGCAGCTCACAGCCCTCCTGTTCACCTCCTGCAGTGAAACAACCATCCAGATTCCACCCCATCCTCAGTGCTATGCAGCTGCAGCACCTTTCAGAAGGAAACTGCCCACCCTGCAGCACCACTCCAGCCAAAAATGCTGGAGATGCAACGGAAGAGCCTACGGAGCTCCACAGAGCTCACCTGGAAGTCACTCACTGAAGTTTGATTAAAAGATAATTAGAAAGAAATCTCAACTCAAAGCGAGTGGCTGTAGCAACAGTCGGGTGATTTCAGGCTGAGGAAGGATAGGCTGGAGATCAGGAAAAACTTCTTCACCAAAGGAGTGGTCAGGCACTGGCACAGGTCACTGTCCCCAGAGGTGTTGAGGAACGGTGATGTGGCACTGAGGGACAGTCGGTGAGCAGCAGTGGTTGGACAGCTGGACTGGATGATCTGAGAGGTCCTTTCCTAACTTCATGACTCTGAATTTGGGGACCTGATGGCTCCCGACCCACAAAGCACTGCAGCAGAAACCAGTGGGAGATGGAGCTCTGATCGAAGAAGGATGAAGATGTTTCCTATCACCACGGTTGTCCATTGCACTGAAGGCAACAGCCCTGCACCCTGAAACAAGAGGCAGCTCGATCCTACAAAGCTCCAGAAGGCAGAGCATGCACGGTCCGTTCCAAGGCTGACAATTTGCTGCACAGTGCTCAGGAAGGTCCTTTCTTTCTGGCAATGTCCACTGCTGGATGGATTCCGACTTCCTGACTTGCCCCTCGCTGGCAGCAGTAGTGTGGAGGAGAAGGAACATTTGTGACGGCCATCCGACGGCTGCACCCGGGCAGGAAGCAGTAACAGAGAAGGAATTCTTTTTTGGAACCGAATGTACAGCTTTGGTTACTGACAATTATCTCCAATTATTGAAAACAGGTTTCAGATCTCTGGCACAGCACTCATACATTGCAGTCGTGTGTGTCTCATTGCAGCCATATGGATCAGATCTTAACAACTCCAGGAGCTGCTCCTCCAGTAGCCCTGGAGATAAATGGGTTGGACTCACTCCAGGTTACAGCCAAGCAGCAAAAGATGGGGACGTGGAGAAGATGATGCAAATCTCACAGCAACCACAGCGACCTCCTCTCCCCGATGAAGTGATACTGGGACTTCAGCCCCACGTGCTCGGCTTCCCATCTCACACTGCTCAGTGTCTTACATGGCACTCCCAGCAGCACAACCCAAGGATGAAGACATTCACCATGCTGACACTTGGAGCTCGCTACAACCACCCCATGGGCACACATCTTCATGGTTTGGGATGAAGGTGGGGGAACAAAAGGCCTAGAACTCTGACTTGGTCTGTTTTCCAAAAACGATCTGCTAAAAGCAGAAGGACTATAAGGATAAAAATGGGAGAATGCAATTAAGGCTCCTGCCTCTCCAGCCATTGCTCGTGCATATCCCCACCTCCCAGGACCGGAGTGCAGTGCCAGGAAGGATGTAGGGCAGCTCTGCAGCTCACAGTGGCCCACGGCTGTGAATGAAGATGGGGCTGCCCAACTCCCAGCTGCAACACGTCTGGGTTACACTGTCCTCCTGGATTCCAGGACATAAACTCTGTACAGCTCCTACTAGAAGCTACGGATGTTTCTCAGCCATTGCCTTCTGCGCGTTTTTGCCCTTCTCCAGGTTCTCCTCTCGCAGCTGTAACTCAGCAGGGCGCTTCACTGCCACGTCCTCTCCCACACACAGAGCAGAAGACAGTTCCCCAAAGTCCCTCCTTTCCAGGGCTACCAACTCCTTCCCTTCCCAATGAACAAGACAACAACATCACATTGACAGTTTCTGCACACAATGGCCGCCTATGGAAGACACACATCGGGACCAACAAGTTACCACACATTGAGCTGAATCTCTAGGATTGCAGAGGATGAGGTACGAAGAAAAGGGGATGAGGTACAAAGAAAAAGGTCTACACGTAACCTGCAGAGGGTGGAAGCTGTCAGGGAACTGCTCCTTGAGGAGAGCACGCAAGGACAGAGCCATCTCACATACAGAGGCAGCTGAAAGCCATGGCACCCAGCCCGGCTTGTTGTGACCCCAGGGCCCCACTGAGTCTGAGCACCCATGCAGATGTCCCCAACACCTCAACGTGTTTCTCTTCCCGTCATTCTGCTGTTGCAATTCCCCTTCTTTGACTGTAGTTTCCTTGATTGGTGCTGGGTCCAGTCTGACCTACAGACTGGGCAACGTCTACATAATGGGTCGTCTTTCTCTCCTCGTTTTGTGCACTTGAATAAATAAGTTTTTACACGTTTACTGTGCACTGTACAGTCTAAAAATAAAGGAAATAAAGTATATGAAATTTATAAATTTTCATCACATCTCTATAAAATACAGCCACTGCTCCGAGCGGCTCTTTCTGTACACAGAACACCGAGTCACAATACAACGAAATGCACCAGTTCAATGCACCAGTTCAATGCACCAGTTCAATGCACCAGTTCCACCAGGGGCAGCACGGCGAGCGAGATCGCGGCGTTGTGAGCTACCATTCAGATCCACTTAAAGCAAAGAAATACAAAAAGCAAAATGCACTTAGTAGACGTCTAAGCCATTTCTGAATCAAGTATCAAAACTCTACCAACAAAATACATTGTACTCGGAACAAAAACGAGCTGAAAAAATCTACCTGCACCGGTACAGAAGCACTATGTTCAGTCTTCCCGATGTCATCTCGAGGGCCTGACCAATCCCAGTGACCACACACCCTGTTCATATGCCAATGACATCCCAAAGTGACCCGCCCAGCTACTGAAATTCACAGCCTGCAGACGGCCGGTGCGGTGGGATGGGGCAGGGCTTGGATCCCTCCTGCTCAACCAGGCTGTCCTGGGATCCAGCTGCCACTCCAGAGGGGAGCACGAGCTCTCATTTGTCCAAATGCAATTAAAACCCACCCAGTGGCTCGGTTCTCCTCGGAGCAAACCACCAGATGAAAGACCGCCGCAGCATACATGGCTGTAAACCAAGTGGATTTTGGGATATGAACAGAGGAAGGTGAATAAATAAAAGCAGACCTGTCTGAGAACTGGGTTTGGCATTGGTCAACCTCCAAATTCAGCACCAAGGATCAAACTAGAGGCACAGTTCTGACGGATGAAATAGCACCGAGAAGAGGCTCTTTACATCTCTGCTGGTGTGCCAGTCCTTAGTTATTTAGAGAATTTAACCACAAGTTGTATTTATGACTCTAGGTGGAATAAAATAAGTCAAAATTATTTTCACGTTAAAAAAGATAAATACTTTACCTAAACTATCAACAATACAAACTGGAGCCTTAAGTATTTCTTTTGCTTTTTTTTTTTTTTTTCTTCCTTTTTTCTTTTTTTTTCCTTTAAACTCAGATTCACAGTAAATATTATTTTCTCTGTTGTTTAGGTCTTTTTAGGTTTGTGTTTTGTCCAGTAGTAAGAGCAGAACCCCTGCACAGGCCAGTGAGCACCTTTCAGTGGAAGCCGAGTGAAGTTGGTCCACGTTGTCCTTGCATAGGTCACATTGGGTTGAGGTAGAAATCCTAGTTACCTGCACAACAGGAGAGGAAGAGACTCATCTCAATGACAAAATCCACAGCGTGTCAGATGTCTCAATCATTTCTACATTGCTCCGAGACCGCGACCGGACCGAGATTTGGGACCTTCAGCCAGCAAAGGAGGAAGAGTTGACCCAACAGCACTGACTCAACCACAGGCAGACAGGAGGAGGCCACTAAGAGTCAGACCCCACTGGGGGAAGGAGGAAGGTCTCTGCTTGCCCACATGGGGCTTCACCCTTTTCTAGCACACACTGATCTGCTCTGAAATTATTACGTTATGGAGGAGAAGTTAAGGAGTTTCTTTCAGCCCCTCAACTCTGGATTCCAGCAAGGGCTCTGAGCGCACGGATTTATACTGAAGTTGGGGAAAACACTCAAATATTTGACCTACATCATATGGAGCAGCAATGTGTGCCACAGAGCACCTGGGAGCATTGCTTCTGCCGCTCTGCTCCTCAGAGCACCTCCGGACACCTGGCTGTCTTTCAGTGGACTTCAGCCACGTGCCAGCCCTGCTTTGCCCAACAGATGCACCCCACGGGATGGTGTGGCACACCCAACGGGATGGCAGCTGGTTCTGCAACACCCCAGTCCCAGTTAAGGCACCTCCTTCAACAGAAGACCTTCCCACCGCTCCCTGGAGCCATTCAGGCACACAGAGCCCCAAACCTCCTCCTCCTCCTCCTTCTTCTCCCCCAGCTCTCTCCTACTCAGCCCACCCCATCAGCACATCAGTGTCACTGCGGCCACAGCACGGGGACATCAAACTCTTCCTCGGCTTCCCTGTGGGGCCAAGGTGGCACTTACCTGCCTCACCAATGCCTATGGGGACTACATTTGTGGCCACCGAGCAATTTGGTGGCGAAGGCGCCACAATACACACAATGCACAGCCAAAAGAATCTCTCAGGGATGTTGTAATTGAGGCATATGTTTTATAAGCGGTAAAGAGTATTCAACCATCGATTTTACGCAGCTTTGGGATCAGTGAACAGCAACAGCATCAACGACCTACAGGTAAAGCACGGAGCGAGCTCAGGGCCCTCACACTGCTGGAGCTCTGCGATCCCAAGCTGTTACATCACGATGCCACAGAGCATTTTTCATAACAGTGCCCAACTCCGTGCCAGCGCGCTTTATTCTAAAGGCATTTAAACAGTGCTTCAATAGAAATGCATACAGCCTCCAGAGACCCTCCTCTCTCTTACAGCCCCAGCACAAAGCAGCCAACCCTGCACATTCCCTACAGTCTACCCAGGGAGTGAGCAATTGCCAAGTGAGCAATTCTGTGATTCTATAACAAAGCTCTGATGGAGACTGTCACTGTGTGCATATCAAGCTGCAGCGCTCAGCTTCACTTCTTGGTTTCCTCTGCTGCAAATTCTAACCCCTTTTTGCTACCTGTGGCTGTTTCCCAGGGATGCAGAGGGTGTGCTGACTGCAGTGCACCAGCAGTGCATTTGCACTCTGAAGCTGCAGCTTGGGACCTGGAGGGTTTGGAAGTTTCTGGTTACTGAACAGCTGTTGTTGGCTGAGGTTGGGAGCAGCGTCACTCGCCCCAGCGCCACGGAAACACGGACTTGTGGAAGGAGCAATGTCTGCATTAGAATCACAGGATGGCTTAGGTTGGAGGGGATCTTAAAGATCATCCACTTCCACTTCCCTGCCCTGTGCTGGAGGGGAAACCACCGCTGATAATCACATAAAAACCGTAATGTATAAAGACTCTCCTCCTGACCGCTGATAGAAGCAAACGTTTGTGAGGTGCGACCCCACCTGAACATAACCCCAGTGTCAATGAGACAGCAGAGTCAGCACTCCTTGTCGAGAAATCCTGACTCCCAGCCCAGGCAGCACGGAGCTCTCCGCCCTCTGCCACCGCATTATCCCACGTTTCAGATGGTTCTGTTTCACAGCCCGTGCCCACCCCTCTCTGCAGAGGAAGAAGCATCACTCAGCATCTCGCACACCACTCCTGGGGTTCGTCTCTAGCCTTACCTTACAACATAAGAACTGTTAGCTAAGCAAGCTCTTTATCGTGGCTTAACCCCAGAAAGGTGCGAAGCGGAAGGAGGCTGCATGCCAAGCGTGACCCACATGGCGGGCGCGCCGGCGGCCGTGGGCTGCGCCATCGGGGGCACAGACTGTGCCAGCGCCGAGCGGGGCAGGGGGGGGTGGTGGACAGTAAAGGAGGGGCGGGAGGCTTTGTGCTGCAGGGAAGCGAGCTTGATAGACAGAGCGGTGTTAGAGTGGACAGAAGCGGCGGAGGAGGACGGCAGGAAAGCGTCGCCGGGTGGGATGGATGGGCTGTGCAGGAGGTCGGGGTTAGAAGCAAGCAGAGGAGGAGGTGGGGGCAAGGAAACGTTAGGAGGGGGTGGAGGTGGATGGAAAACAGATTGCACTGGCGCTCTGTTGAGGTGCTGAGCGGCTCTATTCTCGCTAGATGTTACTAAATTAGAGGAGGGAGGTGGGAAGGATGAGGATGAGGTGCTGGCAACAGCCTGCAGGGGGTTTAAGCTTAGCACTGTGCTGCTAGAGACAGCACTGCTGCTGAAACTGGCTCCAAACTGATGAGGAGAGGAGGCAGAAGGCACCGCATGGTTAAAAATACCTGCAAACAGGAGAGAAAAACTCAGCTTCAACAGATGGGCTTTGTACAGTCTCAGGTGACAAGAGAAACAAAACAAAATAAAAAAAAGCAAAATTATAGTAGTTACGGCCCCATACAAAAATATGCAGCATGAGAAGGCAGCAAGCAATGAGAGGTAATGGTGCAGGCCAGGAGGTACAAGAGGTTCACTTACCTTTCCTACTGCCAACCTCTATGTGCCACCAGGACACGCGGTCAGACCCCAGAACTGTCAGTGCTATACCACACAGGCAGGCTCTGAAGAGATTACGGGGTCTCTCAGAGCCGTTGATCTGAAGACTCAGACTGCTGCTCTTCCCTCCCCACCCCTTCTGCTCTCCCACTCACGGGGCAGAGCAGGGGAGACCGCATTTCCAGCAAATCTACGTGCTGAGAGATGTGAGAGTTAGGATTTCCCGACACGGTGCCTGAATGGTTACGGATGGGTAAGACACACTGCCCTGGACAGTGAGCTGGGACAGGCTGTCTGCTGCTCCTGCCAAGCAGAAGGTGCATATGGCACTGCCCTTCCTGGCAAAAAGATGCTCTTAGTGTCTGTTCAAGAGCCAGAATGCTACACAATTCCCAACACCACTTCCTCAGATGCTTTGCTCTTCCTGGATCATACTCAATCCTAATCCCAACCTCTACTCAAGCTGACAGAGCTCCTTTCGCTCGGTGACACAACGGGTTAAACCTTTTACCTGCAGGTAGACCTAGGCTGGTTCCAACACAGCAACATCTGAACAAACATACATTATGAAACCACAAAGTCGGGTGTATTCTTTCATTGAGGTGATACAACAAGTGGACAAAGCTCATGGGATTTCACTGCGGGGCAATGGACTCATCTTAATTTCAGAGAGAGAGAAGAGACGTGTTATGTGGGATAGGTCTGCTTCACATCCTGCAGAAGTGAAAGGGTTTCAGCCCTGGAGAGGCAGCGTCAGACTTTCCTTTAGGCCCTGTCTTAGACCAGAGAAAGAGTTCTGCCTACCTCCAACTGTTCCACCTGTAACCCCAGGAGAGAAGTTCCCCATAGTGTGAGAATTAGTCAGTCTGGTTGCAGCTGACGACACGTGGACCAGACTGGCAGCAGCTGGCATGGAATTAAATAAGGACTGCAATACTGAGGAGTTTGTCACCGAGTTGAGGTTGGCTTGCAAGGCCATAGGGCCGAGGGGGAACTGCGATCCAGTGGTCAAAGTGTTGAGGAAGGGATGGTGCGTCTGCACAGACGATGCTGGGTTGCCTGCTGAAGAAACAGCAGTAGAAAGGCTTTTCCCATTCAGAAGGCCACCAGACGAAACAGCAGCAGAAATGAAAAGGTTATGGCCGTTTTTAAACTCCACGTCTCGGTCCCTTCCTTTGCCAACCTTCCCGTTATGCTGCAAAGAGTTTTTCTCTGAAGAACCCCCCGCACGAATGCTCATTTCACTCATGTCTTTGCTTTTGACTCCTGCCCGGCTGTGGTCTTCCCCCTTGGCGCCGCCGAGGCCTTCGAGCTGCCTCTTGTTCAAGAAAGGATTTGTTTCTGATATCCCCACATCTTTGCTCCGCTGCGACTGGAAACCCAGAGAGCAGGCGGCAGCCGTCCCGTCCGAGGCCTTGTGTGGAAGAGAAGCACCATCAATAAAGCTGTGTAAACCAATGTCAGTCGACAGCCCACCGTTGTAGGCGAACCCGTTGGTGGGGTTTGTGCTGGGGCTGAGCCCATCTGCCCCCGACGAGGGCATGGCCATGCCTTTCCTTGTGTGTGCCACCTTGGCGTCCATGGCGAGGCTGTCCTCGGAGGACGGCCTGAAGGCAAACAGCGAATTCTGGCTCAGAGACGACACAGACTGCAAGGGACTGTCCGTGGTTTTGGTCAGGTTGATGTCAGATATTGGTGAGAAAGTAGATTTCCATTTACTGCTGTTGATGTTCTCATTGGGTTGTGCTTGTTTCCTCCCAGATAAGCTGCCACCTGGTTTGGAAGAAAGGTTTCTAAATACCAAAAGGCAGTTTGCACTGAACCTGCTCACTAAAAACATAGGTTTTGCCTTTAACACCTGGATTTTATCAGTCTGTAATTCTGTTTCTGATCCAAAAGCAGAATACCTGTGACGTCACCTGCACATCCTTTAAATTTAGCTTCACATCTGATAAGTTCTGAGAATGCTGATCCCTCCCCAAGCCCTGACATGGCATAACATAACTCACCGGATCGTTGGTGGCCTGTGACTACAGAAAGAACTGACCCACGATCTGTAATTATCAGCCACCTGTCTCAATTACGATAACACAAAGCCCTGGTGGGATGGCACGCTGCTCAGCAGCCTTCTATTAACAACACCTTCAGCCACCCACTCCCCAGCCCAACCATTGCCCCAAGCAGTTTACAGCCCTCACACCCACCATTTTCAACAGTCTTCTGTGGAGATTTGCTTTCCAACGATATCGTTGCAATTTTCCTCTCGATCCTGGTGGGAAAATAAAAAGCTTATAGCACTCACTGCAGTCGTTTGCTTTCATATTTACCCTCAGAGCCTCGTGTTCACATCCCAACAGTTGACTGAAGCACATAAAGCCAAGGCACTGCACGGGACAGGAAAACCATTTAGAAATATCCATTAAAAGCTAAGCAGAAGCTGTCACAGACTCTGTGCTCTTTGCCTGCTCAAGGAACATCACCACTGCTCCTTCACAAGGTCGGTGTCATTCATGCACGCTCACCTGGTGCTGTTGTGCTCATCTTCAGATCCCTGCTCGTCATCTGACGTCAGAGGGGAGTAATGAACGCCGTTGCTCTGAGTGAGAGGCTTTTCCTTTTTCAGTACCGGGGGCTGGTCGTTGTCCTGGTAAGGAACAGGAGAGTTCTTCAGGGAGTTTTCAGGAGAGGAAATGGCTGTTATTTCTAAAGGCTGGTTAATGTTATTGACCTGGGCAAGAAGGAAAGAAAGCAGTTACAGGTGAGAGCACCGCTTTAGAAACAAGGTGTCTTGTTAAGGATATGAACGTGCTCAGCTTTAGGACAGGCCAGCTTCACACTGCCACTGCTCTCCCCCAGCACAATGCAGCAGAGCCCAGGATGAAGGCTTTAAGATAACTCGGGTAAATATTTTCATCATTTGATTTTATGTTTGAACGCAGAAATGAAGACATGGGAAAATGACATTTCTTCTCAAACTGCCACTGCAGGATCCCATGAGCACAACTTGCAGAGCTGGCTTATTAACGTGGGAACACCATATGCTTCTGGCACTCGTGAGCTGTTTAGTCAATCTTAGCTTAAACTACGTTCAAAATATTTAATCTACAGGATAAAAAAAAAAAAGAGCAACTTCACCGTAAAAACAAGCTTTGCTGGAAGAGGCGAGATTGCTTGTTAATTTTTTGTGCTGTGACAGGAAGAACTCTTTGGAGATGTTCTCCAAAGGCATTCGAGGCCATGGGAAGGCCTTGGGCAGCCTGGCGGGGGCACCCAGCCCTCGGGGGGGGGTTGGAACAGAGTGAGAACCATTCTGTGTTATCTATACCAAAGCAGCTCCCTAACTTTCAGCAGCTCCCCTGCCCCTCAGAGGGGCCGTTTCCATGGAAGGTCATCGCTGCAGTCCCAGCCACCAGCCCTGTGACAACCTCATGCCCAAGAAGAAAGCAGCGGAAGCTGACTTCTAACTCACAGAAATCTCCCCAGCCCTCTCTGCAGCCTCTCCCTCCTGCCCTTACCATGGAGTTGATATTGAGCGGTGAACCTGACGGCTGCGTAAAGAGTCCAGACACAGCAGGCAAGGATTTGCGTTTGGGGGAGACCCCGGAGCCCCCGCTGAGGTTCCCAGTGGAGGATCTCTTCCGTCGGCCGCGCTTCTTCCCGTCCTGCCCGTGTGCTGGGCCGCAGTCCAGCCGAGCGCTCGCGGGCAGAGGGCTGTGCTTGGTGGAAGGGGATTGTTTTACATGTCCTGTATTAGGAGAGATTGTAAAGATGATTCTTCTCTTGGCCTCGTTCTCAGGATCTGAAAATGCTGCATCAGACTGAAGATCCCCCTTTGTTCCATCGGCAAACATCTTCTGAGCATCTGCATAGTGCAGTCCCCCTACCAGGCTCTGGGAGGTGCCATTTAACCTGGGGCTTGCTGAGTGCTGGTGAGCAGGGGAGCTTTGCCCAGAGTTCCTCGACTGCATCATTAGCAAAGGATGTTGTGGAGTGGAACTCCGAGACCCTACTGAGTTAAACAGACTCCCGGAGTCGTCCAGAGCTGCCTGATCAACACTATGGTTAAGATGGGCTGGGCTGTTTGTAAGATTTCCATTGACTGCCACGGAGCCAGAAGAGTAAGAAAAACCTGTTGAAAGGGAAAGTATACATCACTGCTTCTGCTGAGCGATAGTTCACAGTGCTAGATGTGTGGGAGGGCTGGGGCTGGCTGGCCGTGCAGGTGGGATGCTGGCTCTGCACGCTCACAGTTCCACTCAGGCCGTAACAATTTGCTCTGCTCTCTCATCAGTGTTGTATGGAGATAGCCTGTAATGGAACCTCCAGTGAAAGGTTCCTGTAAACTGTTACACCTCCTGAAGTTGGGGCTCCTGTTTCTCGACTCCTTCCTATCGTCGAGGAAATAAGAGGGCCAAATTTGAGTTGGTTTCCTTCCTCAAAAATAAGGGACTCTGCCTATACAGCCCAAGTCCTGCTCAACACTAAACAGCAGTGGCTTCCAAGTGATGGGATCTCACTGCAGCAGAATGCCATCTGGGATAAGCCTGGGAAGGGGATGAGGTATTTGTCATGGCATATCACAAATGGGTTTAGTGCTCTAGTAAAGCCTTGTCTCCGGGCTGCCTACGTGGAAAGGACAGAAGGGAATACAGTACTGTTTTACATCATCTTTTAAATAATTCTTTGTATGTGTAGAAAATTGCAGCCAAGCCCTTCTTTGCAGAACAGATGCTAGAAACAACACAAGCCCCTCAAGGTGAAAAACACAAAGAACAAATGCACTCTGATGTAGGATCAGCTGCAGGGCAGCTTCTGTATGCAAGAATCTACGTTTCTCAGTCCACAACATTTCCATATCCTGAACAGCTACAGGCCACAATTCCAGCAGATGGGTGAGCTCAGAAGTGATGTCTGTACTTAAAGGCATCCCTACTCTTTCCCTTGTTTCCCAGATTCTGGTGCCTTTACAGATGCTCATGAGACATCACTGAGATTTCCTTAAAGGAATTAATTTTACTACTAAAAAAAACCCAACCCTCTACCACCACCCTGCAAAAGAGAACTTTTTAGGTGACAGTTCATAGGATAGATGTGGAATGCTTGGATGGCTTGCAACTTGCAGAGATCAGAATCTCTTCATCCACAAAGAGGAATGTACAAAAACCCAACCACTGCAGCTCAGATAAAGACAGACTCCAACGAAAACTCCACACTGAAACCTATCCAAGCTGTAGGCCCTGTTCTGACAGGCTCAGAAGATGATAATCTGTGATCCTTTGGTCTGCTGACAAAGGGCACACCTCCCTAGTGCTGATCTGCCCGGAGTGACCTGCTCACAAAACTCCAGGTGTGTGCACACGTGGGTGTGACAGAGCACCTCCGCCCCGCTGAGGCTGTTACCTGAGGTAGCCAAAGCCAGTGGCTTGTTTCCAGCAGCATTGCTTACACCATTATGAGAACTAGCACCAATCTGCTTTTCAAGTGTCGATGAGTCTCTGCTCTGATGAACTGGGCTAGGTGTGCTTCTCTGCGGGGCAGAAACAGGAGTGTCAGTGCAGGAAGGATACTCAGAAGTCACCCATTTAAACAAAATTCACATGCAGTAGTAGATTATCACGGAAAGCAACTCTAATCCCTAGATAGCCCAGATTTATCATGTTTTGAGAAAAACACAGACCAGTATGGGACACAAAGACACGCTGCCATCTGCTGCAGCGCCAGCGTGTGTTCCATACCATGCACACAGAGGTTGTCCCAGCCTCAAGATTCTGCTTGGGCTCATCCCTCAAAGCTGGGACATCGCCCACAGACCACCCAGCTGAGGCAGGGATAGTTTGTGGTGCAGGCAGGAAGGCGTGGGGGCTACAAACAAATCAATTGAGAAATGGGATTCCCAGCTCCCAGAGCCACAAACCCTCAGAAGCTGCACTTTTCCACAAGGCAAACACTCAGCCCATCAGCTGGAGGCACATACTTTGCTTTTTCTCCTGGCTGAAAGTACCACCACTCCACAGACACAGGAGCACGGATAACAGCCAAGAGGATGAACCCCAGCAGCAGCACAAAGCACTCAGGATTAGCATGGATTTTATGGACTCCAGCACACAGCACCCCATTTCTGCCCCCCGTGATGCTACTTAGGGATGGAAAGCACTGGTAATGCCTTACTCACCACCTTCTCAACACGGCTAGGCAGGACTACGCTGGCCAGAGGGATGCTAACAGGGAGCTTATTGGGCTGCACTGTGCTGAGAGGAATACTGATGGGTAGGCTGGTGATAGTTTCTCCATTACTCACAGAGGTTCTCTCTCTCAAAACCTGCAAATGCAAATGACAAAGTAATGTTCTCAACTGCAAGCTGTTACTGAAGAGACATTCTGAGCTAATGGTAATGTGCTTGTTTAGATTTTGTTCTTTTTTCTTTTCCCTCATTAAGGATTACATAATTAAGAGTGATAACTACATCACTATATACACTCTGAAAAGCCAGGGCATGCATACAACACCAATACACTGGGACAGAAATACGCAACAGCACAGGAACAAGTAAATTAAGGTTCCTGCTGCCCTTAAGCATAAGGGAAAGGCTGCCTTAGGCAAGCTCCTGCCCCAGTCACAGTTTTGTCACAGCTCTGTGCAGAGCACTCAGCAGGCAGACTTCATAACCTGAGATCCTCTGAACACAGAAGATGCAGCAGTCAGAAATATTTCCATGGTAACCTCCTGTTGGAGGGCACCTGCTTGCTCTGAAATGAGCACCATGAGGATTCATGGCAGGACCAAATTGTATGCTTGAGTTTTTGGTTTTTTTTTTAATACAAAAGGCAATCTGGTTTTCAAGCTGAAGTAGACACACAACAGACCAATACAGCTCTACTGCATCACCAGCATATTTGGCATGCAAACCAGCGAGTCAAGGGTGAGCACATCCTACATAGGCACCGTATTCTCTTCCTCTAGCCAGTTCCTCTTACTTTCTGCACTACAATTCCTGCATTCTGTGTTTTTTTCCACGCCAAGCTGACCACAGACCAGAATATGTCTGCTTCTCCCAGCCTGGAAACCTTCTCTTTGTTCTACCAGCCATCAAGTCTCCATGCTCACACAAAGCAGATCTCTTACCTTCTCTCCTGCAATCGGTAAGGCCGCTGGGGAAGAGGGCCGAGTTTCCTGAGGACTCAGCTTGATGCCATTGGAAATACTGGGGCTTGGATATGTAAGGCCATTCTCTTTGACATGGTCAGCTCTGCAACAGAGATTTGCCATCATCAGAATACGAAGCTAACGAATTCTGCTTTGCAAAGTATTCCTGTACCAAACCCAAGGCACCATAATACCGTGTTTACCCAAGCAGCTCAACTGCTGGTTCTGCTAAGACAAAAACTTTAAGTAAATAGAACTCTACCTTTAAAAGTATTTTTCCACAATCCAAACAAGCCACCATTATTAAAAATAATCATAGAATCATACAATGGTTTGGGTTGGAAGGGACCTCAAGGATCACGAATCTCCAACCCCCTGCCACGTGCAGGGCCACCAACCTCCACATTTCACAGCAGCCCAGGCTGCCCAAAGCTCCATCCAACCTGGCCTTGAACACCTCTCTAGGCAGCTGTTCCAGCACCTGACCACTCTCATAGTAAAGAACTTAATCAACTTAATCAGGCCCTTCCATCAAGAGATGATGGCTCTCACCTCTGTATCTCACTCGTTGTTGCTTTTCCATTGACTGCATGGTCTTGATTCAAGTGTCTCCTTAGTGCTATTTTAGCAGGAGAAAACCTGGTATAGTCAGGTAAGGACAGGCTTGCCATCCTGTCTGCCTTCTGCCTGCTGTGGTTTGGGGTGCATGGAACTATTTCTTGGTCCAGATGAGAAGTCATGTACTGAGGGGTGTTCTGCTTGGAGGACGGCCTGCTGAAAGTGTTGTGAATCTCATAGGGAGTTGCGTGGCCATTCATGGACAGTTCAGGGCTCATGCCATTGACGTGGGGCATAGGAAACTTGGAGCACTCGAGCTCCAGCTGGAACCTGCCATGATCAGCCTCAGCATCACGGCTCAGATGGGTTTTATTCCGTAGCTGCACTGACAGTGACTCATCCGACGGCGTGTACGATTTCAGCTGCATCAGCTCCTGCTGCCTTTGGCTCTTCTCAAGTTCCACAATGCTGATCTTTAAATAAAGAAGAGGACAATGATAAAAGATCACACATAGTAATTCTAAGGCATCGCAGCGCTGCTTCAATGTTCCTTGCAGAACAAGTGACCCCATCTCTGGGAATAATGCAGAACGGGTGACCCATGCTTTGAGGAACAGATTTCAATATGCTGCTCTGAGCCCACAGCCGAGACGTGCAGGGAAGGGGAATGGCTCAGAAACTCTCAGAAAGCACATTTCACATTTTGGAAGAAAACAAAATGTCTCTGATATAACAGAGAGAATACAGAATAACCCAGTAGTGTCAGTCGCTGAAGTCACAGAGTCACACTCTGTACAGACACAAGTCCTGCACAGGGTTGGATTAGCTTTAGAATTACACAAAAAAGTGAAATTCTTTCACATTTCGTTTCACTGCAGTGACATTTTATGGGACCTCGTTCCAGAAATGAGACTTCAGAAGACTTTATCTTGAAGCCACATTCTGTGCAGACAAGCAAGACCTTTCTTTTCACTAGGCCACGCTTTTAAATGATGTTTAATGATACACCACAATTCCTTCTTCCATAGCATTACCAGAGAATGAGGTCACAGCATCTACTTTCTTCAGCAGTTATCTACATCCTTGTTCCCCAAGTTAACCAAATCCCTCCTAACAACAGAGACTGATCTCCAGATAAAGCAGCCACCAAGCTTACCCCCTAACACCACATTTAGCCAAGCACTCTCATTGCCCAGGAGCTGCCCTGGGTTGGTCATCCTGGAGTTGTGTTTTGCTCTGTACCTGCAGTTCCAAACAGTGCTTTTGTTTCTCAGAAATCTGATTCTTCAGCGCCTGCTTCTCCTTTAGCAAGTTCTCCAGTGACAGCGTGGACCAGTCTAGCTTCAGCTCTTCGCAGCGTGCCTTCAACTGCAGAGACACGAGATAAAAGGATCAAAGACAGCTCTCAGCATTTCACACTGCTCCAGCTACAAGGTGAAAGGCACTCACCTCTCAATAAGGGTAACAGCAAGAAGGTTCTTAACCTGCCCACAACTCCTCCCAGCTTAAGCCAAAGGGGCACAAAAGGGCCCTGCAGTATTTGTGTCATATGGAAGGAGGTGACCTGGGTCATTCTTAAATGAGTTATCACTCACCAGACCCACGACCAGATCCCCCTGCCTACCTTAAAGTCTGAGTTACTGAGATGAAAACTATGAGCATATCAGCTCATGCTCTTTCCCCCTCAGATGAATGAGAGCATCACTGCTGCTCAGACACAAGCTCTGTACGCACCAGCTGCAGGCTCTGGTTCCTGAGTTCGCTGTTATCCTTCTCCAGCTGTTTGGTCTGTTCTTTCAGCTGCTGATTGTGAGCAGAGATTTCCTTCTGAGCCTGAATCAGGTCGTTGTATGTCAGAGCCTTCACTCCCAACTAGGACATAGGGGAAGGGGGAGGGAGAAGGAAAGAGATGGCTCAGTAAGGCCTTGAAACACCAATTCCAGATAATGGCCCATTCAGAAGCAAGGCTGAGGAGACCTGCAGCTCCCAGGAGCCCCCCAGCACCCCCTGAGGCACTTAATTATTACTAGAGGATGAGGAAAAGGGACAGAAGTACCTCATTTGGAGCTGCTGTTCAGCCATTGAACCTGGAAATTGGCATTTCATTTCTTGCCAGTCCAGAGCACTATTTTTGTACAGAGCCACTACGCTTCCTCCTGCACTTCCAAACCAAACTTAATCAAAGAGTGAAAGAGATTCCACGTGATTTAGCAAAAAGGAGGGTGCTCTGAGACCTAACGCTACTCTGGCCTCATTTTTCTCCAACCCATCTGCATGCAGATGACCACAAGCACACGCTGCCACCAGACCACAGTCACCTCATCGAGCTTCTGCTGAAAAAGACGTTTGATTTCCTCTTTCTGTGCCTGGCAGTGGGTGAACAACTGCTGTGCCGTCCCCAGTAGCTGTGCATTCTTCTCCTGGAAGTGGGAAAAGACACAACACACGTTTAGCACCAATGCAGCACAGTTCAGCTCAGTAAGAGGTTCACATTTAGTCTGCACAGCAAACTGGGAGTGAATCTGAGACCTGTGAACAAACCCAGCTCTGTGAGCTGCATTTGTCAGCTTTGCTGAATACAAGGAAGCTGAAAACAGCTTTGAAGTAGTTTCTTCCACTCAATGGTAAAACATAATCAGGACAGTCTTAATTCATTTTTACCCTCCTACTGCATTGTAAAGAAGTAGTAATAATCACATCCTACAGAGCAGAACTGGAACAGATTATCTGCAGGAAATCTGTTACTAAAAAGGGAACAGAATCTGAATCTCCAGAGCCCCTGCCCAGAGTTTTCCTACACAATACTCAGCAAATGGAAACATGCTGTGGGGGAGGTGGGAGGAAAGCCAGGAACCAGGCAAAGCACTGGGAGCAATGATGACAACACGATGCCTGCAGCCACCAGAGCCCTGTGCAGGCAGAGCAGCTCCTGCCCATTGCATTCCTCAGCTCGATACTTGCTTACTCATTTCATGGTCACATACGTGCGGGCAGCAACGTGCAAGGATGGGGCTGCCCGAGGAGCCTCATTTTTCAGCTCCCCATAGAAAGGGAGAAAAAAGTTGCCACTCTTCTCCAACTTCTGCCGTTGAAGCCAAACAGGAATTGTGCAGAAACTGAGCAGTGACTCCCAAGAAAGAGGAGGAGAAGGGCACAAAGTGTCCTGATCTTCCAAGCAGTTCATTCAGATCCAATGCATGCAAGAAAACCCCGGGCCCTGCAGGCAGCTGAGTGGCTGCAGTGCTAACCTGACCTCCCCCCCATGCTGCTGATATAGCTGCTCTGCTCTCAGCACCAGCTGTCTCCTTCAGCCTTGCCAGACAGCCAAGGAGCTGACAGCTCCATCTAAGGGTACTCGGTGAACCAGCAGCTCACACAACTTGTTTATTTTCAAATTGTATTCACAAAAGGTTTCTCTTGTACTGTAAAAACCCTCGTGTTAGAGGGAGTTATTAAACAGCACACAGCAGTGCTTCACCCTGAGTTCTGCTGCTGGGAAGTTTACCTAGCTGTGCTCTCAACACGGAGCTCTGAGTGCTTTAATGGAGTGCAGCAACCCCATTAAAAACATCTTTTCACACTGAATTTCCCATTTCCATGTCAAAGTACAAAGCAGCTGTCAGACACCAACGTGAGCCCATTACTTTTCCCCACTTCAGTTCTGTTTCCAGAGTACAGCACCATACCTGCACACTAACGCTTCTCATTCTGTTTTCTGGGCAAGGAGGTGAGTTAAATTTATGGTGACTTTTCTGACAAGTACAGAACAAGAAGGGAAATAGGCTGCTTCAGGAAAAAGCTGAAAAATGAACTGCAACAACCATAGGGAAAAATCCATCTGCACGAAGAGCACAGCAGCACCAACTCATCGCCAGCAGTGAATGGGGCAGCACAAGTTGGCCTTTCTCATTTGGAAAAAGAGTTCCCATTATGGAAGATCCCATAATCATCGGGATTAATTCAGAAAGCACTTAAATTATTCATTGACTGAGGTGAAGCAATAGAAGAAAGGCTGTTTCAGCAGTAAGTCTCCTCCCTCTGCTGGAGGAACAGCTCTACAGCACAGCAAAACGCAGCACTGGGCAGCAGCAGCTCTTGGTCTGTATATCCATGTGCACAATACCATGAATTTAAACTTTTCCCACCCGTGTAATCTTAACATATTGCCATTATTAAGAGATCAAACAGAGCATCCTTTAGCTAGGAGACAGGTGTATTTATCTCTGACCCCACGCTTCAGTTTGTCACATGTTTAATGAACCATTCTGATGCCCAAGCACTCAGGATTCGTTGAGGCTTTTACAGTGGGAAAAGAGTAAGATGTCAAAAACCAGGAGCTTCCTGCATGGGAAACTTCCTGCATGTGTGCACACAGCTTTGAATGTCAAAAAAGAGGGAAAAACAGAAGAACTGAGGCATGCTTTCCCTGGCCAGGTGCACTGCAGGCAATGCATCTTCCCAGTTTGCAGACAGGATATTCAAGAATGCAAAGACTGATGAAGCCAGCAATTAAATCCCTATGCATTCATCCTGATTAGCACTCTGGCTGAGTCTCTGCCATCATCCTGTGCTGTACTGCTGTTCAGATGCACACAGCATTGTTTCCAGGTATCTGGTAGCCCAGAAATTTTGTTTAGAAGCATTATAAATAGACACCCACCTTCTCCTGCTCCAGCAACTGTTGCAGACTTGCTTTATATTGAGGAGTTTTCATGTATGCCATGAACTGCATGTACTGGATCTTAAAAGAGTCTGCAAGGAAATAAGGAAATTATGTATTTTAAGCAAAGAAAGCTCCTGTTTTGGTCCATTTGCTCCCCTGCCCCCCAGGCCCTGCACTCGCTGGCTTTTTGTTTGGACTCCCACTCAGACCAAGCCATTAAGGATCAATGTAAAGCATGCTGAAAACAGTCCCCTGAATGCAAGCTGAACTCTGGTTCCATCAGCTGCTTTTCATAGGTAACCCAATGGAAATTATGAGAAGTGCACTCTACCTTGAAGCTCAGAGAAAGACAGTGGGTGCTAATGGTGTGCTTGCATGATGAAAGAGGAGTTTGCTTTTCATACACTGGCAGCAGAAACAACAGAAGACCAGCTATGAAAGCCCAAACCTTTGCACTTTCTCCAAAGATTACTTGCAGTAATCCTCACCCTTCTTTTACTTCTATGATGCAACACACCTTCCTCCTCCTCAGCCCTCCTGGGACATTACATCACAGCTCCAACCACACCACTGCAGCCATTCTGCTGCAACCACAGGCAACCCGAGCACGCAATGGGCTCTGCAAAGACTTTTGCATCAAGGTTTCCTCCAGACAAGTGTCAAATTCAGACAGCATCTCATTTTTGTTTGACTTTGCTGTGCATTTTACAGGGAAAACAGAGTGCTGCTGTCATTTAAGAGAATGGTTTTATTTAAACTAAAGTTGTTTCTGATGAGCTATTTGCACTGAAAGCTATTTTGGATTCCTGCTAAACCCCAATTTCTTCCCTTTTGTGCCAAGCTGAAACAAAATCAAAACCAAACACAGATCAAGACAGCAACTTCAGCAGCAAGATGACCCCCTCTCTTCTTCCTCCTCTTCCACAGTGTCTGTCTATTTACAGCCCTGTATGTTTAGAAACCCCAAAGCAAAGGTCTCCTTCACAAACAGTGATGCCACAGCCTTACCTAGCAGCTTCTGTAGTGCAGGTGGGGTGGGTGTCACCAGCAGCTGGTTGGATGAATGCCGTTGCACTTTAGGAGGTAGTTGGTAATATGGACTATGAGGTGACTTGTATGCATCTGAAGGGAAAAACACAGGCAGCCTCTCAGCTGGGAAGGGCACAGAAACTTTACCATTCCGAAGCATTCACCTGCAGTGAGATTTGGTAACTTTGCTGGACAGACACACCACAACCAATTGTTTGGAAGGGCAACTGCAGTGTGAGCTTAGAAGACAGCAGTGAAACAGGGCAGCTCCAGCTCCTGGCCAAGCATCTGCAGCCTCACAGAGGCATACCTCCACTCTGCTTTGGTGATAAGGGAGGAGGTATGGCACAAACCAAACTAAAGGAAGACTGACCTCAGTGCATCCATTATTTACGCTCACACAGAGGGACAGGCTTCTCTGAACTCACCCTGAGGAGAGGATGAAGATGTCTGTGACACAGTTTGAGCATGCAGAAGTTCTAGTGCAGTTTGGTTCTTCTTGGTCTTGCGCTCTGTATTTGCAGTGTTCATTTTCTTGGGACGCCCTCGCTTCCTGCCTGCCATTTTCCTTCCTTTTTTGCTCAGTTTCTTCTTCCGTGCTTTAGAGGGAGATGGCTTTTTAACAGCATTTGCCCCAGCTTTTTCTTCTTCAGCACCAGAATCCTAAGGGATTTTTTAAAAGCAGAAAGCCCTTTGGTTATTGCTACCTACACAAGCAGCATTTCTTTTAAGCCAGCATTTAATAACTTTGTTTAACATATTCATGGAAGTCAACTGTTCAGTAAGTTGCCAATGAACTCAGCTTGCTTGGAACCAGAGCTGTCCCCAGCAGCCCAGAAGTTGTGCTAATTCCCTTCTGGGCACACTCATTACAGGAAGAGAAGTTTAACTCTTGTCTAAGAAGAGCTGGTTGTTCTCCTGTTGACTACACAGGTCAATACAAGTCCTGTATAGTCTTCAACTGACTTACATGAAAGTCAGAATAGATTCCATACTTCACACATTTGTGCACAGACACTGCATTTCAAACAGAATCATACAACTGAATGAGAGAGGAAATGTTGCCAAAGATGCTCAGCAACCCTGAGCAAGTCTCGAGGAAGAGCTCTCCAAGCAGCACTGAAGGTTCAACCAGGTACTCAACCAGCTCTGCCATTCATGTGGCAATGCTTTTTTTTCCCCCAGAATTATCAGGGCAATCCCCAAGTGTCACTCAGCCCTGTCCTCAGCCACACTGATAGCAGTTTACACACTGAATGCATTTCCCCTGCAGGACAGTCACCTTGTTTTCTTGAACCTTTGTTGGAGTAGTTGTGTTGCTCTTGTTTTCTCGCTGTTGACGACGTCTAGCTGCCTCTTGTTCCTCCTGAACAAACATTTTAAAAGAGTCAATGATTTGTTCCCGTGTTCCTCCCTTTCTAACACAGATCCCTGTCTTTCCTCACTTGGCCAAACTCTTCCAAACTCTTCCCTCACTCCACCCCACCTTCCCAGACCACTCACTACAGTCAAAGGTCCTTAGTAAGCACTTTACCCACACATCCAACATTTCGTGTACCACTACATCACCACAAAAATAATCTCATGTGATTTGAAGTGTCAACACCATTAATCATCACCCAACTCAACCTTAACCAGGTCTGCACAGCAGCAACTTCTCAGCATCACTACAGACAAGGAATTTCACTCTGCTCTTTCTGGTACCTTCCAGGTGAGGTTAAACTTGCATAAAGATTCAGACACCTTCTGCAATCTGAGCAATGTATCACCCAGACTCTATAATATTTATTTATTATAATAATATAATAAAAATGGCAGATTGAGGCATCCTCCCCTTTAAAAACAAGGTTGTTCTACAGCACATGGATGCCACCTGATTTTCAGTTTTTTCTTTTTGCCTCTCAACTCTCAGAGATCTTTTCTCCTCCCAAGCTTGAACAGCCTGGAATAACCCAATCCCAAAGGTAACCAGTCTGCTTGCAGGCCTTGCTAAGTAAACCTACATTCTCCTAAAGTTTTTAGCTTCACCACCTTGTTTTATCCCATCACTGGGAACATCACTGCCATCAGATGTTTCAGCCCAACAGAATCCCAAAAATCCTTTGGCACTTTAATTCCACGTGTGACAGCACAGATCACAATGACTGCCAACACATTTCTGTGTTCCCAATGGAAGTCCCAACAGCAGCAGCTCAGAGCACTCCTCATTTCCATGCAGTGGAGCACTGGGAAAGACACAAACTATCATCTCCTCCTTAAAACTTTGGTGCTTTAATGAACAAATAGCTCTCTGTAGGTCTCCAGGGCAAGTGAAGAACACCTGGAGGCTCCCCATTAATTAGCCATTATAGAGCTCATGAATGTGATTGTATTAGGGCTTGATGGTGTGTGATGCTTCACTTCAATTAGCTCTGTGCACACCGTTCCTTACTTAGCAAGAAGATTTAATTTTCTACCCATTCTGTACACCCTGAAGAAGTGACCAAGGCCCTCCTGCTGGCTTCCCCATTACTCTGAATTTTCTACAGAAAACAGCTGAGACTTACCCTGAGTTTTGGATTTTTGAGACTAGAAAAATAGTTTTCAAGCTGCAAACACAAAGATGATAATTTTGTAAGTCAAGACTGAAGATCACATAAGGATAAACATTAATTTAAGATAAATGCAGAAATTCTGACTGCTTCTCCTGCAGTAAAGGACACGGGCAGGACGTAAGCCAAACCCAACAAGGCTCTATCAGCTTTCCCACAGCCCATCCTCAGTTTGAAGCTTTGTGAGACCTACCTGCACTCAGCAGAAGGTTATGTGCAGCAAAGCTCCTTCACTTCACCCAAATATTTACCCACACTATGGCATATCCTCTCCCAAAAGCACTGTCAAACTGAAGCAGGCTTAGAAAATATCTTATTCTCCTACAGCAAGAAACACTGATAAGTTGGTGCTTCTACAGAATTGTTTTTGTTTTCTTTAATAAATCATAGAATGACCTGGGTTGAAAAGGACCATCTAGGTTCAACCCCCCTGTTATGTGCAGGGTCACCAACCACCAGACCAATGGAAGAGAAGAACAGTGGATGCATCAGCACTGCCACTGAGCTCTGCTCAGTCCTACAGACCCGACAGAGCAATGAGAATTGAGGATGATTGCTAAGGAGCAGCGTGCTGCAGTGCTGTGTGATGCTGACACACTGGCTCTGTGCAGGGGCAGCAGGCAGAGCCCCAGCCTGCAGTGATACTCACTATGGTTCGGTCAATAGTATGCAGGTAGTAAGAGACTGGCTTCCCAGTCCACGACACAGAGCCTTTCAGTGGTGACAGCTCCACGACTCTCATTATAGTGCCAATATCTGCAGGAAGAAAGGGAAGTTATTCACTCACTGCATGCACCCAGCAGAAAACTTAGGAAATTCTGAAGCTCTACCCTGTGTCTGCTTACAGAACACCATTGATCCAACCCATGTAAATGGCACTATACTCAGATTGAGGACAAACCAGTTTGACATTTGCTTTCTTACCCATGTTTGTTTTGTTCCCTAGAATTAATAGGTCTGGGACGTGCCCGAATGTTTCCATAACCACTGAGCATGGAGGCTGCCTCTTTCTTCAAGCCTTATGCTTTCCACTGTGTTTTTTAAACTATTTCACTGCTCATCCTTGAAGGCAAAGCAGCAGCCAGGCGCTGGGGCACCAATCCTCTCCCAGCCAAAGCTCCATCAGCTATTTTTCCATCACTTCAGTACCAGCATGACACAGCAGCTGGTATACACAGAACTGCAGTGCTGTGGAAGGTGGGGACCAACTGGTAGCTATGATCAGAGCTTTTACAGGGGAATTAAAAAGCACACTGGCCACTTTGCCTCCTCTCTGCTATTTTTAATAACCACAGTCTGCCAAACCCAGCACAGAGGGAGCTGAGGCAGTCAGCAGCCAGCATTTAATGGTTAATGCAGCTCTGGATGCCATGGAAAACAGCATCAAGAAAGAAAACAGCAGTTTTGTCTGCCCAGTGCTCCAGACACAGCAATTCAGTAAAAATAACTCACAATGGCACTATTTCAGTCCAGCACCTTAATGGCATTCTGCAAATGGCTGTTCTTGAAAAGCAGTTAACCAAAAGCAGTTGCCAAAAAGAAAACACAGCCAGAGCTTTGCAGCTCAGGATGTTACTTTGCCATGCTGCACAAGGAGGGGAACGAAGTGCTTTTTAAACCCAAGGAGTGTTTTGCTCTGGACACAGTACGTGCACATTGCAACTTGGATCATCCCACTGCTTCCAGAGCTTTCAACAATAAAAACTGAAAGAAGGTCAGAAGCAAAACCAACAGCACAGCCAGCGTGTGAGCAACCCCCAAACCTCATCCAACTGCAGTTCACACACTTGCAGAGGATAACATTGGCAAATGTCACGTCTGCTGTGTTCAGATGGAAAGAAAGAAAAAAAAAAAAAACAACAAACGTTGCTGGCAGTAAAACAGAGACAGCAATGGGGTGTGGATGGGATGGGGCTGTTCGATCTGTTTGCAGCACTGAGGTCAAAGCACTCAGCAGCTGAGCACGTCAGCATCAGTGCTTCTTACACCACAACTGCTGGGATCAGACAAAAATCCTGTCTGCTTTTTGTTTGAGTGATTTAAAAGGCATTTCCCTTTGCTGTGTGTGCTACAACAACACAACACAACTTTTGTTCTTAACAACTCTTAATGAAGAGCAACAAAAGATGTGTTTGTGTGAGGACTACAGCTTAATGTGAACAACAGCAATAAAAAGGGCAATCGTACCACTCAAGTTTCGACTGTTAATTCTGAAATTCAGAGGTGCAAAAGGTTTTGAGGACACAATTCTCCCACCTGGAAAAGAGAGAAAAAAGCAAATCAGTTTCCAGTTTCCTTTAGAAAGGACCAGTTATTAAGCACAACCTCGCAGAGCCCAAAATATGCATTATTTACTTTGGCACAGAGTTGTCCTATGGAAGCCACCACTCCTCTGTTTATTCCACACCTGGTTTGCTTTTTTTTCCCCCCCAGAATTTCTTATTCTTCTATCTTCTGCCATAACCAACCAAAACTGTGACTTATCCAAGTGGTTACAAGGGAAGAAGCCACCAGAGCACCTTGGGTGACATCAGGGCTGCTCCTTGTGGAGCATCACCTGTGACTGCGTCCCCATTTTAACACTCATTAGTTAACACCCAGTACCCAATGTGACAGTTTTAAATGGGAGAACCCACTAATTGAATTCAGCATGCAACGAGGGAAGCTGCACACAGCCCCAGAGGTGGGAAGCTCTGCAGTGCCCACAGTTGGGTGTCCCCACCACTAAGTGTTCCAACATGGGAACCCCAGAGCAGGTTAGCAGGGCTCCTCCTGCCCTAAAAGCTCTGCAGGAAGGCTTGATGTGCAGAGCCATTCCCAAGAGATCACCTAGCTGGAGGCTCCTTGAGGTCCTCTCCAACCCAGAAGCCATCATGGCATTTTAAGTGATCACACGGATTTCTGGTTTGTGTTTGTACAGAAGTATAGAGCTGGAGAAGCCCCCACCACGGTGCAGCCACTTCTCTGTACAGCTCAGAAGGAAAGCCACCAACCTGGCAGTTACCACCACGGCTGGTGGGAAACCCATGGGAAAAGGTGGGGAGTTGGATTGGTTACCTTCCTTCATGTTGGCAAATCGCTCCTTCAGTTGGTGATCCACCTCAGGACCAAAGGCAAAATTATTCACAAAAATAACACTGCAAGATAACGGTGGAGTTAATAAATGGGGATGGGTGTCTGGCACCAAGCACACCCACACCACCATCCCCACGCCAGCTCTAAGCATTCAAGCCCCTGTGAAACCAAAGAACAAAGAGTTTGCTCCTGGCACTGCCACACGAAGCAGTCCATAACCCACAGCACTGCCCAAATCATTACATTTAAGACGAGGAGTGAGGGCAGCCTGCTCTGACAGCTCCTCCCAGCACACAGCTGGCTTTGCACCGTGTCTTATTCATTACATCAGCAAGTTTCAATGCAGAGACAATGTGCAAAATATTTTCACTCCTCTCCCATGGTGAGAGCAAACATCAACATGACGACTGAGACCACGCTCACCACACACAGGAAACAATCCTCACACATGCATGGCTCATCCCATTACTTGCTCACATTTAAAGCACAACAGCAGAAGATCACAGCTGCTCTTCTGGCCCTAGGAGGAAAGGTTTGCACCTCCCAGTGTTTTCACTGCCCTAAACCCTGCACTTCACCCTAATCCCAACTGAAGAGCTGCACCTCAGCCTGGGGTAGGAAATGCAATGGAGGGGGGGGTGTTCCTGAAAGCAGTGCTCACATGGGAACGCAGCACTTGCACGTAGGTATTGTGGTCTGGGAAAGAAGCAGAACACATGACAGATCCAAAAAGAAAAGAAAACATCATTTCTGGGGCTGCGTCCACATGTCTTTGTGCTGCTCCCTACCAGCACCCTGCACGTACACACTGCGTGCAGCGCAGCACAAAGAACTGATTCCTTTGCAAGACGGCTGCTTGCAAACTCCCCTCCTCGTGCCTCTATGCATGAGACGTGCTCAGTAAGGACAATGTGTCTGTGAGCAGCAGCCAAAGTTATTAAAAACCACAGATTAAAAAAAAGAAGGAAAGAAGTATGTACTAAAAAAAAAAATAAAGAAATAAAGTAAAAGGCTTGTTGCTCCTTGCTGATGGAAATTTGGGAAGCCCTGCCTGGCAAGTGAGGCTCGTGGGGGTTTCTTCCTGCTCCTTCCCAACACGTGCCAGAAAAGAGGCCTTGCAGCATAGCCAGGTACATTAATGGGACCAGAAAACATCCAGGAAAGAAAAGGGAAAAGGAGAAGTGGCCTCGTGTGTTTCTTAGTGCTCATTCTGGCACAACAGCCCCTGCAGAGCTCTGCAGCCCCAGGCAGGGACCTGCAGCACTGAGTGCTGCCCACACGTCAATGGCAGCTCCTGAAGTTTGGTGGAGGTACTCTGTGATGGAGCACACTCAGAGCACTGTGATGGATGCAACCCTCCACAGATCTCCACAGGAAGAAATGTTTGAGATAATGAGTTTGAATGAATCCCCAATTTGAGCTGGAATTGATTCATTTGCTCTTTTGCTGTATTATTTTTTAACATGGGAATTGAGCCTGGCTGCAGGAACCCACAGCCAAGGTGACCCCTGAGACAAGTGAGAAGGAAAGGAGAAACAAGCAGTGGTCTCTTCTGAGTTGTACAACTAGAATTTATCTTGGATACACCCCTGGGTATGTATCCCAGCACATGCATTTAAAGCCATTCCTCTCAACAGAAAACAGGATCTGAAGAGGCCAATGCAAGGGCTGGCAGATCAGCTTTTGGTATTTGCTACGGAAATTCTATAGAGAAGCTGGCCAGCCTCCCAATTTCCATCATACAGCCTCCCAAGCACTCAGTTCATAAAGCAGCATTCATTCAATGGCTGCACTGTACCTTGTGTTTGCAATTCTCTCTCTCCATTCTTCTGAGAGGAAGTCACCTCTTTCCAGCTTAAAGATAAAAAAAAAGAGACAAGAAACACAAAAACCACACAGATCAGTAAGTTAATGCTGCTCCTTTCCGTGTGTCCCTTCCCTTTCTGCAGCCTCAGCCCAGTGACCCCATTGCAGGATCCCCCCTCTGCTCCCACCCTCTGATGGGGGAAATGGGGAAGGGTCTCTGTGTCCCAGCACACCTCCCTGATGAACACAGGGGAACCCCCACAGCTTTTCTGCACGGTGTTTGGATGTAAGAAGGGAATCTCAGGGCCGTGCTGCTGTGTGGTGCCACGAGATGAAGGCAGCCTGGAGGAGGAAGGTAAGAGAGGGAGAGAAGAAGCAGTAATATAATGAATTAACGACACCCTGTGAAGGGCAGGAAGATGATGGATGTGTCACAAGCTCACAAACATCACAGCAGCACCGGTGACTGCTGAGCATCTTTCTTCTGCACCTACTCCTTTGTTTGGAAAGGCACGAGCACTTTGCTTGCCAGCTCTAATTCCAGCTGAGTGACAGCCACGTGGCACCACACCATCGAGCTCTCTCCAAGCATCCACAGCTGAGCCAGGAGACCCACAGCAGCAGAGCTGGGTGCCTTCCCCACAGCCTTCCCCTGCAGCAGAACAGCCTGACCTCACCCACAGCCACAGAAATGATGGCAGAGGCACTGCACCACGGGGCCAAGAGAAGCACACATTGAGTGGTCTTGGGAAGAGAGCAGGAACTCTGCACAGAGCCCAGTGTGCCTGAACCAGCTGAAAACAGTGGGTTACAATAACCCAGAGTCAGTCTGTACCACCTAGCAGATGGATGGAATAGTTTTAAAGCAGAAGGACCACCTATATCACCACACCTGCCCAGGGGGTGATGCAGTTTTTGATATCCCTGCTGTAATAAGAAGAAAGCACACGTTGGAGACTGAGCCCAGAGACATCCAACCCAGCCAAGTGCTGTCAGACGTTGCCAAAACCTCCAGCAAACACTCACTGCAACCTCAGAACAGCTCTAAAGGATGTTATTTTTCTCAGCTAATACAGTGAAATGTTACTTCTGGGGCTCTACATGCCTTTTTTAGAGATTGTGACCATCTCTAGATTCTTTTAAGGGATAATTCTGTTTTACTCTTGTATCCCAGTTGAGTAATCAAGACACAGCAGAAGAAAACGCACAGGCAAAGTAACTGTACTTATTGAGCAATGCTTTTTGCAAGGCAGCTTCTATACTGTTGTCCTCCACGCAATGCAGTCAGTTTCTAACATCTTCACAGACCAAGAGGACTAAGAAAAACACTCCAGGAATAACGAGGTGTGATGATAAAGCCATAACCTTGCAAATGAACAAAGTACCAGAATAACACAAAACCATTTTGAAATACGAAGCTTCATATGAAGCTCTTGAAATCCAACTTGTTTGGATCCTGACTTACTTGGATCCAGTTACACCACACATCTGTCTTACCTACATGGCTTGGAAAAGAACGATCATAGCCAAAATCTCCATTCCTTAACCCAACAGCACCTATATGGAAGATGCTCCTCTCTTTTGCAAAATACAGACATGTTAAAATTCAAACAAACCTCAGCACTGCTCAAACCCTTCCATTTTGGTGCTGCAATGCCACCCTCGCTCCTACTTTGCCAACAGCTGAGGGAAAAATCTCACCAGGCGAAATGAAGTACTGAAATAACCAGATGGTCCCCTGTGGTTGGGAGAAAACTGCTTGTTTTTCCCCTCTGGGTGGCAGACAGTGATTCCTGGGTCAGCCAGCTGCATTCTAAATAGAGTATACAAGCAATCTGGCTGGGCTATTTCTGACCACCCTCTTTTTTACCCGCTGTACTGGGAAGCAACGGGGTCAACAGTGCCAAATGATGGCTTAAGGAGAGCCAACATCAGGAACCCGACGAAATTCCCCCTGAATCACACTCAGTCCATGGCTAACACTAATTCTGAGAGCAAAACAACGAGGGGGGAGCAATTCCACTCCTGCCCGGGTGCAGCAGCAGAGATGCTGACATAAAGGATCCCTGCACAGGGATGCACTCAATCTCATCCCACCAGTGTCCCAACCCCCATTGTGCTCTTCCTCTCCCCGAGAAACATAATCTGCTTAGTAAATAATGAATGGAAGGGACCATCTGTAATGCAGATATTTTCATCTGATTAGACAATGCAGGAGATGTGCTTTATCTAAAAGGATAATTAGCTGCTGAAATCCGCTTCAGAGAGCTGCCAGCCAGCGCTGCTTCTAAACTTAGAATGGAGAACAGGTTGATATTCAGGTTCTTCCAATGGGTAGCTCTGCTTATGGAGAGCACAGGCTTAGCAGTGTCCAGCCCATGGAGCAGAGCAGCTCAGGAAGGCTGAGCCCATCTTCCTTGGGACAGTTTGCCCATACAAGCAATGAGTGCCCCATCCCTACAAGGACCCAAGGCCAGTGGATGGGCTCTGAGCACCCAGAGGAGCTGTGGGTGACCCTTCTCAATGCAAGCAGAGGGACCAGACAGCCTCTAGAGCTCCATTCCAACTCAGCTTGTTCTCTGATGGCTCGGAGGAAGGCTTTGTTCTCACCCTGCACAGAGCAGAGCCATAAATTCGCACGCAGCTCTCCTCATTCCAGCAGCCTCCATGCAAACACTTGGCTCAAAAAAAACCAACACAGTCCATTCTGCCTGGTAAAGTACACACGGATATTTTTAGGTTCCTGTTCTTTTCAAAAATAACTGGAGGCACGGATCCAAACCTCCGAAACGTGGCATCATTTCAAAGCCACAGGGGATGTTTGGAGGCCCTTTTGAATACCAAAACATCGCGTTTCCCGCTGAAATAGGGCACTCAAAAATATCTGGGACATGCAGCTCTCCTGCCTCCTCCTCACTGTTGAGCAATGGGATTTTTATGCACAGTGATGCCAGTTACTGCCCCAGCCAGCAGCTGGAATCAGGCACGGAGCAGCGATGCTCCTCCTGCACAAATCAGTGCTGAAGCTCAGAATGGAGACCAGGCTGGATGGGGCACTGGGCAGCCGATGGCAGCAGGTGGAATGGATGATCTGTAAGGTCCCTCCAAGCTGAGCCATTCTGTGATTCAGTGACCTCCTTGTCCTGCTCTGATGAACGGCCTCAGCAAAGCAGCACAGGGGCACCGAATGTTACTTCAAGGGAAGATGACTTCCTGCTGCATGGCTGTGCCCCACATGCCTGGTGATGGCTCTGATGTTGGATCCACATGAGGATATTTACAGCCAGAAACCATGAAAACCCATTCATCTCTTAACTGCAACACTGCTTTTTAATGTGATGGCTGAACACATGCAGAGATTCCCCAAGACGGGCCCTCTAAATTTTCCAGACCTGATGACCTCAGAAAAATCTCCAGTTCCCTTTGTATAACAGTTTGCTTTAAAAGAATGGGGAGAAGCTGATCTTGGAAACTTCTGAGTGCAGTGGGGAGAGAAATGAGCAGATAAGGGGAGCTGAGAGGAAATGGGACACCCTGGCATAATGCATGGAGCTATAATGGATTCCCTCTCAGTACAACAGAGGGGAACAGCAAAGAGTGTTCATTAACCCTCACTGGTTGAGAATCAGACATCAGGAAAGCAGAGGAGCAACTGAAACTGAACGATAAAGGCACAAGGATGCAAATATTTAAAGCAAATTGAAACACTTCAGATGAATATAAAATGCTAAGAAGGAATCCTACCTGAAAGTTACTACAATGATTTTCTTTCCCCAGTTAGTTAGAACCATGAGACTGAGCAGCCTGTCACTTAAAATGAAACTCAGCTCATTTAGGAACAGGTTTATGAGACAGGATGACCCACAGGAGCTGGAGGTAGGAGATGCCCCATGTCAGCAGATGCTGAGCAATCTTTCCCCCACTCCAGAATAGACATTCCTGCTGGGGAGCTGCAATGATCACCCACTGCCAAAGAGATTTTCTTCTACCACTTGTTTACCATTGTGGACAAAATGCAATGGAAGCTCTCATGACTGCCTAAAACATCAGGGCAGAACCCTCAGGTGAAGCTCAGCTGATTGCAGACCCATGCTTCAACCCATGTTTATTCCATCTCCAGCAGATGGAATTTTGGGACCTCGCTTTCCAGAAAAGCAGAATGCACAACCAACAGAAAGAGAAATTTTATTCTGAACACTTTTTCAGAAAACAAAGTTAGAAAATCTAGCAAAAACTGAGGAGCTTTGTTTCCATATAGCACTGGATTCCGTCGCTTGGAATGAGCAATATGGAAATGCTTGCTGCCTAAGGCAATCAATATGCTTCCAATATTTATTCCAAGTTCCTCTCCTATTCTTTAAATTGCACAGCTCATAAGCAGAGTATCTTCAGTAACAGCTCCTTTCATGTAATGCCAGCTGGGTGACACAATGGAAAAATGCCATATGGCCACTTCACGAAGAGCGAAGCATTCACAGTGTTTCCACAGCAGGAAAGAGTTAGCAGCTCAATATCAATCCTGCTACAAAGCAGTCCCACAGCAAGCCCAGCATGCTGCTGGAGGGGCCCATGCTACCCAGCCAAGGCACTTTAGGGAGAAAGTACACAGAGGTGGCACTGTCACCTTCTCAGCCTAATTCCTAGTGGGAGAGCATCCTTCATCTCTTGGCAAATCCCATAGAAAGGGCTCAGGACTGCAGCAGAGCCCCGGAAGATTGAGATTGGCTTGCTGCAATGATTTGCCATTTCATTTGATCCCACTCTGCTGAAATGAGGAGTGTTGTGTGGTTCAAACCACTGCAGAAACACAGCAATGGCTCTGTTGAAAGGAAAAAAGGAGAAGTTGTTCCCCAAAAATGTGCAGCCTCTGAGCAAGAAGAATACCCTTATGTCTCTGGGCAACAAGGGACCAGCCCTGACCCATCCATCCTCTTTCCTGAACATGGGGAAGAGGCAGAGAAGCACCAACACTGTATTTTCAGAGCTCCCAGTGGGCTGCTGTTATGCTGTGACTACAGAGATTTCCCCACAGGCAAGTGATTAGCTGGAGAGTAGCTTCTTAATGACAAGAAGGAAAGAAGAAGAAAAGGGGTGGGAATGACACCAAGCAGCCTGTGGATCTGCACTGCTTAGAACTGTTATTCTGGAGTGAAAAAGACATCTCAGAAGTGGAAAGCTTCTGGATCACATGCCCCCAACCCAAGACAGACAGGTGCCTGTGATGCCCCATTTGCTCCTAGGTTCCATGCATGGAGCATCTCATCCACCTTTCTGAGGGACAGCTAACTGCTTGCCATTCTTCTGAGCCCACACACCCACCTGCAGCTCCACCTAGACACATCTACTCTGTTACCAGTCCTGAGATCCTCTGCCTTCATCTCAGTGCTGCTCTTCATGCAGAACTTCAAACCCTGCAGCACCAACCCCACTGATCACACTGTCACCTGCCTGCAGAACATAAAGCTTCAGCCTCTGTTTCTTGCAGGAGGGCTCAGACACCTGAGCAGGGGCTGCCATGTCCACATCACATGAGGAAGGTGAGGGGAAAAGAAGGGATTACCACAAAGAGAAGACATGTGGCACCACAACCAGCAGAGTGCTGGAAGGATAAACCATCCAACAACTTCTGAAAAGCCCTGAGAGCACTTCCATAACACCACACCAAATAATAAATGAGAGAAAGAGGCCACAGGGAGGATATCTCAGAGAGCATCATCCTCAGGATCAAAGAAAAGCTGGTAAGCAGGCACGACTCATACTGCTGCTTTGCTGCTGAAGGGCTGAAGAGGGCTTTGCAAATTCTGTACATCAGCACGGACCACAAGGCTTTTCAGCTGAATTGCACTCACTGTGTATTCTGCATGTTTTTTCCCATACCATTTCATCCACTTTCTGAACTCTCTGTCCATCGTCTAGAAGAGGGAAGAGACACAAAACCACCTGTTAGGACATCTTGGTGCAGCGAGACATCAGTGAAAGCAGATAAGCTCTGACAGTGCTCAATAACCCCCTCCCCACCATTTTTTTCCCTATTAATACTCAAGGGATACAAGGCAGACATTCACTGCCACTTCTCAACAAAACGATTTGCACCAGGATCAGGACAAAGCTGGCATTTTCTTCTCTCCCCCACCCTTTTCAGCAAAATTACATGTTATAAGCAATGCAATCTGAGCTGACGCTGCTTACCACTAAAAATGGCACAACCTTAAGTAGCTGCTGTGTTGTGGTGCATAATCCCACAGAGTAGGAGGCACTGAATGCATCCAATCTAAGCCCAGATAGCAAAGCTTAGATGGGTCAGCTGGGGTGAAGCAGCAGAAAGTAACATGCAGAGCAACTGCAACAGTGAGTGGAGGGAGCACCAATTTGCCAGAGCAACAAGGAGTGCTTCCAGCTGCATTTAAACACCAGACTGGGGTTGCAGAGATGGAAGGCTGTATGACCCAGACATACAGCTGGCACCAGTCTTCTATTGCCCAAATATAGGAAAAATTAACAAAAAATTAAAAAAAAAAAAAAGCATGCCAAGATGGCTTACTCTATATTGGCAGTGAGGGTCCACCTATACACCAGGTATGAAAATTAAACTCAGGTGTCTGAATGAAGACTGAAAAAACCTCCTGTATTCCAGAATTTGATTCCACAAATGAAGGGCCCAAATTTGGTGGCAGCAATGAAAGGAAATACAGGAGAGTGCTCTGACTCTACCAACATCTGAGATGTGCAGATATCCATCTGTGCAACAGTGTGTGCAACAGATGTGTGCTGAAACTCTTTGTTTCTTGAGCTCCCCTAAGCTTTGTGGGACAAGACACCAAAACCAGAAGTATTTTCACGTGCTGGACATATTTTGAACTTTTATTTTTCAAGGGCAGCTTCACTAAATCAAATCCAAGAGACTCTTCCTATTTGGCTGAAGGTAATTCAAAGCCATCTGCATCCTTTCCTTACCAAAGCAGCCAGAGATGTGCTGCCACAGTCAATCTGAACTAGAAACTTAATCCAATCTCTTCCACAAGTGTCTATCAGAGCTGGGGAGGAGAACTGCTCCTCAGAGCATGCAGGCAGCAGCTGCTCAGCTGTTCAATCTGCAATCAGCAGAACAGTGCTGTACAATTTGTTCATCCCATAAGCCTATGAAATATTGGTGCTCTTCTGCAACAGAAGGCAGCCCACAAGTTAATACTAATATTTAATTTCTGGGTGGTGTTTTCTTTTGTGTTTGTTTAGGTTTTTTGTTTGCTAACCATTATCATTAAGGCCTTATGTTTGCACAGTGATGGGAAGGGGTATTAGTGCAAGTGAGAACCTAACGTTCCCTCTTTAACATTCATCTCTACACTAAGCTCACTATTAAATTCAGATAGTGACTCTGCTGTGCAACCAGAAGGCTCACACAGAGGGAATGCACGATGCTCCAGTTGGAAATTTCCACTGGGTCACAAGAGGAGAAACAAAATGGATTTTTAGATCGTTGTCTGATCCTCCTCACCACTGTGTTTACGCATTTTTGCCCACACCGCTTAAAAGGAGGATCAAGGATTTGTTTTTCCTTCGTAAGGCATAATTTTCTGGCCTGCACAGACTGAGTCAGCTTATTTTAACAACACGGAGGGGTACGTTTCTGTTCGGTCTGCTGCAGAAAGTAAACTTTGTATGGTAAGGCATGACTAACCTTGATTGCCTGCTTGTAGCTCGTTTGCCTCCCAGGATCGCCTTGGAATTGATTATCTTTGTGTCCCCATTGGCAGTGAATTAAAGAAGTTGGAAGAAAACTGCCTGCTTGCCTACATGATGGCTCTGGTGTAAGATTTCCTCTGGCTGCACAGTTGCCAACCAGACAAGGCACTCACAAGCCTTGTTGGTCAGCCTATTCCAGCTTAATAACCAAGCTAAACTCCAGCTATGGGACACCAAAAAGGGGCAACAGTGCCTTAGGCAGAAAGACAGCTTTAAAACCTCTTAAGAACTGTTTGTTGAGTCAGTTCCTTCCCAGATTTGCTTATAGTGCTTTGGTTTTGACAGCCCCCTGCACGAGGGCCTTTTCACACCCATGAGTGCAGGTGAAGCCTATTGCATTTCCCCTTGAATAAGTCCTACATCACTATGGTTAGAAACACACTGAGCTCTCACAGCAGGCACAAGGAAAGGACAAACACTCCCCCCAGGCATGCTGCACTCCAGGGCTTAACCTGAGAAACAAAAGCATGCACACTGCTCACTGCAAGCCACTGACCTCAGCGTATTTGGCTGGAATGTCAGCTTTCTCCACACCATAGTGATGTTTGCAGTTTGTGGCTGCAGCCACTTGAAGCACCACCTGACCCACACCTGCAGGAGAGAGAAAACAAACTTGAGAGAGGGTTCCAAGAGAGGAAAGCAAAGAGTCATTAATGGGAAACATGCAGAAAGTCCCACGAGTTCCATCTATTCTGCAATTCAAATCGTGCGTGGCTGAAATGAGCCCCATTTTCCTACAAGGTTTGTTAAATGCTAAGAACCCACCTTCCTGTAAAAGGAATTTGCATCCTGGAGAAGGAGTGTGCACTGCAATTTAACTTCTCTTACAGAATAAAAAAGAAACGTGCTGTTACAGTTTTGATGCTTCCATTTTTCAGTGCTTTTAGGATAACAGCATAAGGCCACAACACAGCAATGCTTGCATTGATAAACGTTAATGGCTACTGCTGTTAAAGATGGCTCGTGTTCACCATCTAACAAAGGCTCACCAAGAGCTGAATTTACACCAGTTTCATTAGCATTTCATCAAACTTAGATTTCAGACTGTATTTCAGTACATATCAGCAGCACAAACATTCAGACAATTCCCACCTCAGCCCAGAAGGATGTTGGTCACATTCCTAAGATGTCACTGAAGACCAACCTGTTTGCCCAGCACTATGGGCACAAGCTTTCACCTGAAATGCAGCACCATGTCTGAGAACAACACAAGCTTATTTTCCTATAGGCTAATGCAGAGTGCTGCGTTAGAACACATGACCAGGTTCAACAATCAAAAAGAATTTCAATGCCAGACCAGCACTGAAAAATGCATGAACTTCCCATCCCCGTTCTGCCTGCACGGCAAGCTGCAGCAGCACCGAGCTGTTCCTACACCCACCTGAGCAGTGCATGCCCTTCCCTCCATCCCAGCTTAAGGAAAAAAAGGGAAAACAGCACTTTGATTTCTGCCTTTACAAGTGACCCCCATTCTGCAGGTGCTAAAGCAATGCCATTCCCCATCTGCTGAAGCACTCAGTTGGAATGCATCCTGCCTATGTCTGACGCAGCACGCGTTTCCATCGCACCAACGTGCTTCATCACCCTGCAGGTGACCACATGGGAAACGAGAGCAAACCTGAGCATATCCCCCATCTGCACAGAGCCACACTGCTGTGTGCAGAGCCACACTGCTGTGTGCACATCGCTGGGCTGCTGGCAGGAAGCAGTGCTGCTAATTGAAGGGGTGGAACTGCTGCCTTTAAGCCCTCGCCATCAGAACACTGCTGGCACAGTGAGAGCTCTGCTGCTGTCAGGGTGTTTTGTTGGTTGACTCTTTTTTTTTTTTTTTTTCCTCCTTTCCTCCCTCCCCAAATTCCCATTTCACACACACAGAGATTTTATACACATGCAAATACAGATGTGCAGATTTCCGTGGGGTGGGAGAAGAACACGGTCTGAGGGAGAACTGTTTCCCTGTTTCTTATTCCTGAAGGAGGACAAAGACCAAGGGGAAGCCACAAACACACTGTTATGACAGAAATCACAATGCAGCATAACGAGTTATTAACCTTGCCTTTCTTTGGCCCTTCTTTCTGTGCTGCAATTGCCATCAGCCTAATGGTGATGCACAGCTACATAAATTCCTCCTGCAATTGGCACAGGAGTGGCCACAGCACCTGGGGGTGCAGCCCCTGCTGTGTGCATGCAGCTGTAGGGAGGTCATTCCCATTGCTGGTAGGAAAAAATATGCTTTCATTTATGCTACTCTCAGTACTGCACTGATTACAGTTTTCTCAAGTTTACTCCTTCAGTACAAACTCAGGAACAACGTTCTGTTTCCAATTGTTGCAGTGTTCCAAACCTTGGAAGCCAAAGACTTTAAACCAATCCTTTCCTATGTGACTCTTTACACTGTGGATTTCTACGTGGTTGGTCAGCCCCCGGGGGAAAAGTGGGGAGAAGGCAAGCAGGAAGGCCAGCAGAAATCCCACATCTCATGGTATGAGCACCAAGCGCTTCAGCTTGACCACACACTTCTTGTTCCACCATCAGCAGCACTGCAAGACTTCAGATACCACCTTCTTCAGCCCTCCTGAACAAACAGCCACCAGTATCTATGGCCTTTTTTGTTGTTGTTGTTTTTTTCCAGAAGGAAAATAGTTTGTTGGACCTGATGCCTTTCTGCAGGTCTCAGTTGGATATCAGTCATTGGAACAGGAAATTTAAGCCATAAGTTGCACAGAGGGAGGAAGGGGTCAGGAGGAGGTGATCCCTGACTGCAGACACACTGGGATCTGGAGGGAACATGGCTGTCCTGACAGGTTTACATTTGTTATTTGTTTTTTAAGGAATTAAGTATATAGCTTTTAATATTTTCCCTAGAAGTCCTGCATCATACCAAAACCAAAACCAAAACTTCACCTACAATTTTAAGACCAATCCAGTAAAAGGGGAAATTCTTATTACTCCTTTCCTGCTCAAAACCAGATTTTAGCAACAAAAAGAAGAACATCATCTTCTTACTCAGTATGTATCTGTTCCACATGGGTTTGAGTCATAGCTGGTTACCAACTTAAACTTCCTTTTAAAACTCCAGCCTACACAAGAGAGGCAGTTGCACTCAGTTGGATTTGTGGGGTCTCACAACACAACTGTCACAGACAAGCATGAAGACTTTTCTGACACACTGAGAAGTACATCAGAGGGGAAAAAAACTGCCTAATTTTCAGGTGACATGCCCAGCATTTCATGGGAGAGATGAGGAAATCAAATCTTCACATATGAATGGAATAAAAAGAATTCACAGAGAGTTGATGAATCCCTAAAAATGGGATTGCTGTTATATTTTAAGCATCATTTTTTTCATATCGTTTCTTCTTTGTAAGTGCATTCACCAACAAACATGAAGAGCTTTCTGTAAGAAGGGTTCGTGGCACTTGCAGGCCAACATCTCACCACAGGGAACAAGGGCTGGGACATCTGCTTGGTCTGCTTAATCCTGTTGTGAAAAGCAGAAGCATCACTGAGGATTAACTAGAAAAGGTGCTTATTCTAGAATGTAATCCTTAGCCCTGGTTTACTTTCCAAATGTGAATTTATGACAAAAAGGAAAAAAAAAACAAAACAGTGAGCAAAAAGAATAAATCCTTCAGTTATCGGTCACTCACCGCTGCCCAAGTCGACAAAGAGATCATCTTCTGTCATCTTAATCTCATCTATCATCTGGGCCACCAGGTCGAAGGAGGTTTCTCCATACACCTCTGGGGAGAAGGGCTCGTAGTTGTTGAGTTTCTCGGGGTCTGTCACCGAGTGGTTGTAAACCTGCTGCAGGATGTGCCGGAGGAGCCCGTTGGAGGGACGCGTGTTCAGCTTCATCGGTTGGGTGGTTCCCTTCCACTGCAAAGAAAGAGCAGCAAAGGACATTTTGGTGGATGAAAAACTCAACGTGAGCCAGCAGTGTGCTTTTGTAGCTCGGAAAGCAAATGGGATCCTGGGCTCCATCAAAAGAGGGGTGGCCAACAGGGATGGTCCCTCTCTACTCTGCCTTTGTGAGGCCCCAGCTGCAGAACTGCGTCCCCAGTACAAGAAAGGCAGGGAGCTGTGGGACAGGGTCCAGAGGAGGGCCATGAAGATAATCAGAGGGCTGGAGCAGCTCCCCTGCAAAGACAGGCTGAGGGAGTTGGGCTTGTTCAGCCTGGAGAAAAGAAGGCTGCGGGGTGAATCATTGCAGCCTTCAGTACCTAAAGGGAGCCTACAAACAGGAGGGGAGTCAGCTCTTGGAAAGGGGAGATAACTGCAGGACAAGGGGAAATGGTTTGAAGTTGAGGGAGGAGAGATTGAGGTTGGACGTCAGGGGGAAGTTCTTTACTATGAGAGTGGTGAGGTGCTGGAACAGCTGCCCAGAGAGGCTGTGGATGCCCCGTCCATCAATGGAGGTGTTCAAGGCCAGGTTGGATGGAGCTCTGGGCAGCCTGGGCTGGTGTTAAATGTGGAGGTTGTGGCCCTGCATTTGATGGGGAGGTTGGAGATTTGTGATCCTTGAAGTCCCTTCCAACATGGGCCAGTCTGTGACTCTGTGACAGGAATCCAACGTGAGGACAAGCAAATATTAAAGAACTAATAGATAAGTACAAACATCACTGGTAGAAATAACAGGAAGGTAAAAAAATCAGAGAGCTCAGTTGTGAGCACACCTGGAAAAGGCGTGCAGGTTTGTTCTCTCATGTTGTATTTACTGATCACCACTGAACTGATGTTGGCTGTAAGCTCAGCGTGAGAGCAGCTCAACTTCCACTGGGAATTGTGGGGTGGGACGGATCGTATGTACACAAACAGGAGTGGCAGGAAAGAGATGGAAATCGAGCTTCCCTTGTTTCTTCAAAAGAAACACCCGTCCCTAAACACAGTGCGAGAAATGTCTGCTTTCAGTAAGGGAAAACAAAAAGGGCAACTCCAGAATCTGGCCTAAATGCTCCTGTGTTTGAGAGGAACAGAAATTTACATACAAAATCCAAACAGTTTTCAGGGAGCTGCAGGCCCGTAAAGGACGGACAGAAGGTTTTGCTGTGCTGCATATATCCAGTAATTCCCACAAGCACAATGGAGAGGAAAAGAAATCCACCTATAATTTCAAAATTAAATAGACTGGTACCATTAATTCATTACTCATGTTTTACTTCCTTCAATTCAACCTTACAGAAAAAATCACACCTTGTTAAATCAGTCTGAGATTACATCCTAGTTTTCCCCATCAGTGCAGCCCTGCAGCACAGAGCAGAACTGAATGGCAAGCACGGAAATTCCTAAGCTATGGATCACTGCCACAATACACAGGGGGCTTCATATGGATGGCTTAAGAACCCATAAGCCACAGATTTCCACATGCAAAAGTAAACCTATATGGTAAATCCCTGTGAAACTTCTGCGAGCAAAATACACGGAAACCTTTTTTCGGCCCCCTGAAGGGATCAGCAAAGTGCCAAAGGAGCACCAGAACGAGAGCTTACAAACCTGCATTTAGGGACAAAGGGAAAAAAAAAAAAGTTACTATGCTTTTTATCTCCTGTAAGACAGCCCCTCCAATAACAACTCTTTGAGAGATGGCTAAGGAGAGATGGTTTAATAAAAGATTTAAACCCCCATGGGAATGGAAGCGCCGGAGCACCAGTGACACCACCAGAGCACAACTCATCACCCAGTGTTCAACCCCTGATGGTTTTTAGATGTTATTCTCTACACGTGAGTTCAAAGCAGTGGGATAAGCACGTGGCACAGCAGTGGCAATACATACCAGCTGATGGATGCTGTCGATGGCGCGGTTGTACTTGTCACAAAGCCGCTGCATGCTTTCAAAGCTGCAGGGAGAAAGCACAGGTTAACAAGAGGAGGGCAAAAGGCGAGCTTGGAGGTACAACTTTCAGCCCTTCTATCATCACAGAAGCTGATCTATTTAAGGTTTGCTCCCTGCAGAACATGTAATTACTTGCACGGCTTTAGGACACTGCACAGTTTGCTTTCTGTAGTCTCCCAGCAGAGCAGCAGTACATGACAGAGAAGCAACAAGTTGTGCAACCTGCTTGTGCTGTGGAAAGAAGAAAGGCACTTCCATTTTGGAAGCTGAACGTTCATATAATATTAGTTCCCTTAGTGAACAAGAAAATAATTGAACTTAAGTTCTGATTTATGAGAAAGTTTGCTGTTCTCCTAGCCCGCTACTTCTTTTCCTCCATGCAGAACGCAGAAATGCAAGGTGTCTGTGTGCTGTTCTCCTTTGCTCCAATGAAGTACTTAGGGACAGGGGTTGGTGGGAGGTGAATGGTTGGCCATGATGATCTTAAAGGACTTTTCCATCCAGAATGGCTCTACAATCAGCACTTCATGACAGTGACTGCTTCATGGGTTGCTCAGGATTACAGTCAGTGTAGCCAGATGCCTCCATGGCAGAAGCTTAGAGGATTAAAAAAAATTCATCTCATGCCAGGGGGGAAAAGATATTGCTAGGAAATCAGGATTACATAACCAGATTCTATTAAAAAAAGAAAAAACAAAACAAATAAGGAGTTACAGGAGCAAGATAGTTAAATCATGGCCACCCCTGAACCAAGAAGTGGGGACCAGGGGACATGGAAGGAAGTGGCACTGCAATCAAGCAGTTAAAATGAAACAGAGAGGAGCAAAAACACCTTAAGCAGATCATGATAGCAGTACCTGCATGGGGCTCGGGATTATAACCAGGGATGACTTACAAAGGGATGGAGTTTCACCTGCAATCCTCAATCTACGAGTTTAGCCACGCTGTGGACAAATGCAGTTTTCTTCACATCCACAACTTGAATGAATTCTGTTTTTCCCCACATAAGCAATTAGGGAGGTCTCTGCATGCTACAGCTTGGGGGTCACAGCTCTTTTCTGCCTGCAGCAAGGCCATGCATGTGGACTCACCCCAGGAGATGCTGCAGGATGAGGGCCTGCCCTCACCAGCCCCAAAGTGGACAGGGGGATAGATAGGACAAGGGGGAATGGTTTTAAACTGAGACAGGGGAGGTTTAGGTTGGATATTAGGAGGAAGTTTTTCACCCAGAGGGTGGTGAGGCACTGGAACAGGTTGCCCAGGAGGCTGTGGATGCCCCATCCCTGCAGGCATTCAAGGCCAGGCTGGATGTGGCTCTGGGCAGCCTGGGCTGCTGGTTGGTGACCCTGCACATAGCAGGGGGTTGGAACTGATGATCACTGTGGTCCATTTCAACCCATTCTATGATTCTATGAAGGTGAACAACACACACCATACTTTCATTTGCAGCTCTTTGTGGAACAGGCGCTCAGATGCAGACACAAGAACCTCCAACTAATTCTAGCTGCCCAAGAGAGCAGTAGGAACGGTTTGCCTTTTAATTCATTCCCCACCCAAACAGCATCACTCTCGTTCTGAACACTGAACAGAGGAGGAAGGGGGAGGTTCAGCTCCCACAGCCCTGGCAGGAGAAGGACACAGCGCTGACAGACAGCTCTGGCATGCAGCTTTCTAAACAGGAATTCTGAGTTACTACAGAAGTAGGAACCTCGGTGCCATTCAGCTCGCTGAGGCTGGATGCAGTCCAACAGCTCAGATACCGATCATTGTTTTGCAGTGAGTAATTCCAACGTACACAGCAGAGCTCAACTCTCTGCCGTACGCAGTTTCCTATTATGTCCTTCATCCAACAGCCTTTGCCAATATTTCTGTTACACATTTCCTACCAAAATAGCTCTGCCAGCTCCAGAAGAAAACTTTGGTTCGTAGTGTCTAAGAATAACCAGATAGCAACGGATTCACTGCAAACCATGCTGGCTTGTCCTCCTGCTGGGAAAAAGGATTCTTTTCTCACCTTTTTGTGTCATAGTCAATTAGAACGTAGTTTTCCATAGCAAGCTTGAGATCTGGGATTTCTTCACAGACCCACCTGGAAAGAGAGAAGGAACAGAACAAAAACACCATTTCCAATTAGCTATAATAAGGCAGTCTGTCTCAGTTCTAGACTGGCATTGCTATACATTGAGACAGAACACTGCAGCAGACATGAAAGCTCACAGTATTGTTAGGAGGAAGGCAGACAGCACAAAATGCTAATTGGGAAGCTGCAAGAGTCCATATTTGTGCTGAAAAAACAGCGAGGTGCCTGTAGACATTGGCAGTGGTATAAAGCACTGGAAATGGCACAGCTTCAAATTGAGGTGATAAGTATATTGAGTGCATCTGAAAATACCCAAAGCTATAGCTGATGCTAATCTAACATAAAGCATAATGAAAAAAAAAAAAAAGAAGAAAAATGCAGTATTTTGAAAGGATTTTTAACAAAACTGACACTTTAACAGCTTTGACAAAGGGGAGGGTGGAGAAGACCTCTCCTCCAGCAGCCTGGACCACCACCACCAGCCATTCATCACAAGGATATTCTCTAAGCTGCTTTTACACTTGATATAACCCAACCCAAGACAGATTTGCCAAAGTAATTTTGATAAAAGATCTCTTCTTCGTGCTGAATTAACAAAGCCCAAATGCTGCTGCCATTAGGAGGGGAAAGCTCAGCCCCACTGGCACTGCATCTGACAATGGCAGCTCACAGATGAGATTTTTGCTCTCAAAATATGGGAAGATGGTGAATTCTTTTCAAAGGCAACTGAAAAGCCACACTGGCTTTGTACAAACTTTCCTCCAAAAACACCAAAACAGGGAAGAGCTACCATCACCACAGTAACTCAGTGCACACCTAGGAAGGACAGAAATGGGAATGGCAGCATTTCCTCTCCTTGCACCATGATGCACACTTTAAAACGGTGAAAAAGCATGACAAGAGATCCAGCTGTTCTGGTTCCTTCTGCCTGATTCACCCTTACTAAATAAATACACACACACAAATTAAAAAATAGAAATCCCCATTTGATACCGATGCCTGACTGCCTTCTGGTGAATATCTACCTTCCCCCAACAAAATTTACAACTTTCCCAATTTTTCTCTTACATTAGGCAAATGGGCAGCCAACAGCTGCTTACCCAAAGAGATTGATAGTTCTCTGCATTCTTTCACTCAATGCTTTCATAACCATGCTGTGGTCACTGAGCACAAGGGAGGCAAAAGGCTGCACGGAAGCCTTCTAACAGCCCACTTGCACTGCAATCATGCTTGTAAGATGGTTGTGAAACACCTCTTTGGCCCAACTGCTTTCTTACACAAGCCCCCTCTTGCCTACAGGTAGCACAGCACTGAAAATAGCACAGAGGACTCTGGCAATCACTTCTAGCACCACCTTCCCTATAATTACACCAACAAAGCAGACCATGGGCTCCCCAAGACCTTCACCAGCATCAGCACAAGTGAGCTGGGAGAAAGAGCAGCAGAACAGCTCACATCCAGGCTTTGCAGTTGGAAAAAGAACATTTTTTCTTAAAAAACAAAAAGCTTGAGGTCCAGGCTCCAGCGTGGCACCCACACATTCCCTCCTACCACATGTTGTGGTCCAATATTATGATTTCATCTACATGAGTGATGTTATCAGCAATACTGCTAAGCTTTCCCACTCATGCTGGGAGCAGCTTGCTGGGCCATATGGGATGACCAGTCTCCAAGCTCGGGTGGCCATGCAAGCAGAACCCTGCTCTGCGTTTCATCTGCACCATCCAACCATGAAAACCTGCTGCCCTCCTTTGTATCCTATGGTGCCCACTCACCGTGATGCAGTCATGCACAAGAAAGGGTTCCAGTCTGCACCGAACACTTACCGAATTGTCTCAATGATTTCATGAGCAGCATCATGGTGTTTGTCCTGAAATAAAGCAAAAAAGTATTTTCAGAGAGACAACAGGTGTGCTTTTTTTTTTTTTTTTAGAAGGTTACAGGAATTGCAATCTTGTTCATGATACAGGTGCCAAACGTACAAGGGAAGGAGTATTTGATTGCCACCTGAATCCTTAAATCAATCCAAATCAGACCATTACTTTGGGAGCTTACTCAACAGAACCAGAAACACACATCACAAGTTACTTCAAGCACGTGCCCCAAAAGCCCATGTAGTGCACCACGCTATGAAAAAGTCTTAATTTGGAAAGATGAAGGTGTTCTATATGTCTTGTTGTATTCATCACATGAAGCCATAGCTACCAGAGCCCATCCACACAGTTTAGGTTATATTTAGACACTTCTTAAAGTGGCTTTGACCTTTTAATTAGAAACCTGGGATCCAGGACCTTCCAGTGTTAGAAGGGAATAGGCTCACTTTCCCAAATTCCCTCATCTGCTGCAGACATGTAAATTCCTACAGAGCTACCATAGGAAATGGACTGGGGAAGGGGAGGGAGTGGAAGAAGAGAAACACCAACAGAGAGATGACAGAAGAGCTGTGGATTATTTTTATTTAAGTTAAACAGAACCCTTTCCCCATCTGCATCACAGCTTTCACATTCACACAACGGAGCAGATTTCCCAGCCCATGCACTCAGGATGCTGTAGAAGTTCTCCTTCCAGAAACTCACCCCCTACATACCTGGATAAAGATCGCGTGATTCAGGGGCAGAAGTAGATAAACATTTCTTAAGCCTGTTATGACAGAGGTTTGAAAGAACACTTCCTATTTTACTAGGAAAAACTTTTATTTTCCAAACAAAAAGAAATAACTCCGTTTATCAAGGGGTCACATGAGAAAAACAAAATGCTCAAAAAGGAGAAGCTGCCAACCCAACAGTAGACAGGATACATGGCTTTCAACCCAGAGTGGTCCAGATGCCAATTTCAATTGGTTCCCAACATGCCAATGCAGCACACCCCATGCTGACATGGTGAGCTGTGCCAACAGCCCTGCACCAGGCTTCCTCCAGTCCATGGGTTTGTGTACGGCCCTGCACAACCCACATCCAGCTGCAACCAGCAGCACCAATAAACAGGGAGCCAACGTGAAGCATTGAGCACATAACTGCACCAGCACTGCTTAGCCTAGAAAACAGGGAAGTAATTCAATGGGAACGTGCTCTGTAAATGCACATGTAAAGAAGAAAGGCATGCAGGAGGAGGGCTCTCCTGTCTCTTTATTTCTTATCTGCACAGTACAAAAATAGCCCAAGACAGTCAGCTCATCCATAAACATCCCCTATGAATTTCCACCTTTCACTACACACAGAATTATCACAGTATAAACCCCCCGGGATGATCTAGCTCTCCCAGTAAACTGTGTTCCTGTATAGTAAGAATATGGTTTATCAACATAAGCACATTATACCGGAAAAGTGAATTCACGCTTCTGCTGCCATATAACCTTTTTCCCTGAAGAAGTTACATTCTCCACTGACAGCTTTGCAAGCTCAGTGTGAGCAGAGCACAAATGGAACCCCATGTCCGACAGTCTTCAAGAAAACGCCCCTATAAATGACCAAAAATGCTTATTTAACAGATTCCTTTGTCTTGAGTTAAAAAATAAATATCACAATGCACATCTATAGTGACAATTCCAGCAAGTGGTTTTAGTAAAGCAACCTCACTCCTCCTGTGCAATTCCTGCCAGAAGGGGCCTTTAGAGCTCAGCTCGTGTTTTATTTAGCAGCAACAAAGCTGGAAAAGGTTCCACACTGACTGCAGCTAAGCTGCCCATGTTGGAACGCTTACCAATTTACCATTCTCTCCAATATGCTCTGTCCGGGTAGACAAGCTCCCAAGATCTCATGCAAGTCTTGCAAAGACCTAACATTTGTTCAAAGCACAAAATGGAGGAGGAAGAAATAAAGATTAAACAGAGGCCACTCATAGCTCCATTTCAATGCTAGGGCAGTAAGATTTAACAAAGATAGCTTTCAGCCAGAGCCAGCCATCCCACCTGTGCTCACACCGTTGTACTCCCACAAAGCAAGAGTCAAGGTGAGCAGAAACCTCACCATGAGCACAAGCTGCCTGTGCACAGCACCAGCGCTGCCCACCACTCTTAGGAGCAAAAGCACTGCTTTGGGACCTATACGCATAGAGCTTGGTGTGGCAGCTTGAACCTGCTCTGTTTGCAAACCCATTGGGAGAACAGGTTGGGAGGGCCAGGCTGCAGTTCTGATGATGAAGCCTCCTGCCCTGCCTGACCAGCACAGCACATCATCAAGGCCAGGCTGCATGTGGCTCTGAGCAGCCTGATGTGGTGGTTGGTGACATTGCTCACAGCAGAGGGGTTGAAACTAGATGATCTTCGAGGTCCTTTTCAACCCATTCTATGGTCTTGGTCTGAAGCTCCTAATCACAAAATCATAGAACATCCCACGTTGGAAAGAATCCACACAGATCACCAAGTCCAACTCCTGGCTCCAGCACCAGCCAAAATCCAAACCCGACCGCTGTGAGTGCTGCCCAAATGCTCCTTCAGCTTCAGCAGTTTGGAGCCCAATTCACCCCCACCCTGGCTTTAGGCCTTTCTCCCTCCATTGGTGAGGGAGTACATGGGCCCAGTGTGCTGTGTGGGCCCAGGCCTTAACATGCTACCTACAGGCCCAGGCCCCAGTGTGCTGCGTAGGCCCAGGCCCCAGTGTGCTGCGTAGGCCCAGGCCCCAGTGTGCTGCGTAGGCCCAGGCCCCAGGTCTTGACATGCTACCTACAGGCCCAGGCCTCAGTGTACTGTGTAGGCCCAGGCTCCAGCATGCTGCGTAGGCCCAGGCCCCAATGTACTGTGTAAGCCCAGGCCTCTGTGTACTGCGTAGGCCCTGGCCTTGAAGTGCTGCCTATAGGCCCAGGCCCCACTGTACTCTGTAGGCCCAGGCCCCAACATGCCGACCATGGGCACAGGCTGTGCTCTCTGTAAGCATCGTACAGCCTGAGGGGCTCTCAGCCCCATGGTGGATCTGCTGGGCCACAGGAATGGCACTCCTCCATGGGGTGAGGCCTTATCTCCTCGGTGCGTGCTCTCTGAGATGTTGTCGACAGGAACTGAATGTGCCCAGAGCTGTTCGTAACAAGTTTTGTTGTTGTTTTAAATAATAATAATAAAAAAAAATAAACATACCTTAGAAGTTATTGCAGCCAATCCCGCCTGGTTGAAATGTATTATAAGAGGTTCTTACTTTCGGCCTCAACATTCAATCTAAAATTGAAACGTGAGCTCCCAGAGAAAATTCAAGTTTTTGCCAAGAAATCTCATGAGAAAAATAATGGAAAGAAAGCAGATACTTTTTCAAAAGTCATTTATAAGAGTGTAGTTTTGTATAGGGATCAATAGAAACGCCTCAGCAGCACAAGTGAGCAGCTCCAGCCCTGAGACAGATTTCTCCATCCGTCACTACAACTGGAAGGACTGAATCAGGAGGTTTTGCATAACACCTTACAGGAGCAGGAGCAAAAACCCCCAGCAGTTGTGTTGGTGCCACAACACCAGTTGGCTGCTGGAGGTAACATCACAGCAAACACCTCCTACATGAGGTGAGACTGCTTTGGTTGCTTTATTTTTCAAGTTGACATCTCTTAGGAGATCTTAATGGCACCATTATGGGATAATTCCTTATGGCAGCAAACAGCCCAAACCATGAGAACTAAAGTTTTAAGTTCTAGGTGTGGTCACAAGGGGAAAAGAAAGTTGGTGCGTTTTCTATCAGCAGATCTCAAAGCACTGTGCAAAGGACACAAAGATTCCTTATCTAATTATCACAGACAGGAACTCAAGGCTGACTGCCCAGACTGAAGTGTCGCACAAAAAAATAGCAGTTCTCACCTTTAGGGCCCATTGGCTCTTTGACTCACCAGACCTCATTTCCTCTCCCAAAACGAGGGAGAGGTGACCATATCAGCTCTGCAGAGAGGTGCAAGCAAGCCTCCCACATTTGCAAGGTAGGAGGAGGAGACCTCCAAGTTTTGCACTGTGCAACGGATAAATCTGAACAAGTCAGAAAAAAAACAAAGCCTCACACAAGCTAGTGAAAAATTAATCAATGGTGACACTCATGTGCTTTTTAAGGATCGCTTTTAAAAGTTCTACATTTCAACCATGCAACACCAGCTTCCAAGAGCTAAACAGTGACTCCACTCAGGAGTTGTTCTGACCGCCAGACTTTGACCTACAAGCGCTGTGATCTTATTGAATTTGCCTAATGAAGGCGGTCAGTCTCAGCAGCCCCTGTTTGAAGCACAGCTCAGCTGCCTGAAGCTGCAGCACTCTCTGCAGACAGCATCCATAAATCCAAAGGAGAGGATGTTACAGCTGGGGACAAGATGGCTAGCAGAGATCAAAAAGATGGATTAGGAAAAGCCAATCAATCTTGCAGAAGACTAGCAGGACAAGTGCCTCTTTAGTGTCCCTTAGGTTTCTTCCATCTGTGGTGGATGATAAGCATTCCTCCAGACACCAGGGCAAGCTGCAGCAGGAACAGTGCAGCATCCACACATGGACACGATCCCAAACCCTGTTCTCCAGGGATCACCTTCATTTACACTCTGCCTAGAAAGAGACCCCAGCACAGCATCCATGCTCACAGCATGTCCACCTGCAACATCCTGCACACAGCAGCGGACAAAGGCCTGTGAAAAGCAGAACCCAAAGCACTTCCAGCTGCTGCAATCATAACCAGTGCCCACTTTGCATTTTTAGGTCTTGCCTCACACTGGTTACAATCTGAGTAAGGAAAAGGGAAAGTTGTTCCAAGCAATATTTCACACTGTATGGATAGACTTTTCATATTAACCGATTTTATCCCAAAGCAGGACGGAGACACTGAGTTTCCATGCCAGCAAATGAAGCAGCAAACTTCTTGCCAAGGGAGGTGAGGACAGAAAGCCTTCCTTGAAGACAATTGCTGCTGTGCCCTTAAGTGAGGA